TCAGCCCGGTGCCCTCCCGTTCTCTCCGCGCCAGCTCCTCCAGCGCAAATCGGTTGCCGCGGGCCGCTTGCCTGAAGTCGGGCGTGCCCCTTTACAGGAGGAGGAGGATGAGGAGGAGGAGGAGGAGGGGAGGAGGAGGAAGAGCAGGAGGAGGAGGATGAGGAGGAGATCCCCGCGAGGACACAGCTCGCTTGGTGCAGTGAGAAGATCTCCAGGAGCCAATCGCAACCAGAAGTTCCGCCCCTCCTTCGGTGGAGGGGGAGGAGGGCGCAGGGACATTGTGTTTCCCCGTGGACTAAAAAATATGAGAACGCCGATGGATCCAATTCGATCTTTTCTCGGGTGTGCGACAATGTCGTGGATCCTATTTCTGTCTTGCGGGGATCAATTTTCCCGTGTGTGGCAGGCGCGAAAACGAAGAGAGCGCTACATGTATCCGCTCACCTGAACTGCACGTCGCTTCCGACATTTGGGGCTCAAGAGGAACATCTTCTGGCTTGCGTTCGTGGGATTTCGAGCTGCGCCTCTCCCACTAATTAACACCGAGCACTTTTTCGCTAATGTCTGGCGCGGGGTGCCGAATCCTTCAGCGGGATTTCGAACTGCGTCTCTTGCACGAACACCATGCAATCGTTTGCACATGTCTGGCGCGGGGTGCCGAATCCTTCATCCCCAAGCCGAGCGTTTTTTCTCTTCGGAATAAGAAGGTGAGAGCACCGATGGATATAATGTGATATTGTTCGGGAGTGCGACAATGTCGTGGATCAAAGTTCTGTCTTGCGCTGTTTCCATTTCCCGTGTGTGAAAACCAATGGACCAATTTATTTTCCGGGAGTCTATATTATATATATATAAACATACATAAATACATACATACATACATAAATATACATACATACATACATACATACATGCATGCATGCATGCATGCATGCATGCATGCATGCATGCATACATTCCTACATTCATACATACATACATACATACATACACACATGCATGCATACATACACACACGCACACACATGCATACACACATGCATACATACATACATACATACATACATACATACATACATACATACATGCATACATACATACATACATACATACATACATACATACACACACATACATACATACATACATACATACATACATAACGGTTAACATCCTGGACCCAGGGAACATGGGATTCGCGGGGCCCAGCACGTGAAGCATCGTGAAGTTCGTGTGGATCTGCTGACCAGAGCTATGATAATACTGGGGAAGGGGGAATCTTCCTAGGACGGAGAGGGGAAGGAGGAGGGAGGAGGCACGAAACCGAGCGCTACATGTATCCGCTCACCTGAACGGCGCGTCGCTTCCGACATTTGGGGCTCAAGAGGACACTTGTTCGGCCTGCGTGAGTATTTCGAGGCGGTGCTTTATCCGTCACCACCACCTGGGGAATAGGTACTCGGGGACGGAGGACCTGGATGTATTTGGGCCCCCTTGGCCCAAAAACCATTCAGATCCACCGCCCGCTGAAGGCCCAGGACGTCGGTTCCCCGCGCAGTGGACATGTATGTACAGTCGGCCTGCGTAGCAAAGATGAGCAACTTTCCAAGGTTGCCCCTTGCACCCTTCCCCGTCGGCTCATCCTCGGCCACGCTCGCTGCCCGCGCCCCGCTCGCAAGGCATCGACATGGCCTCCCGGGGCCCTTGCATCCTTATCGTGCGTCCTTCTCATATGGGTGGACTGCATCCCCGCCTCGCACCCGTGGCCGATCTCGGACCCCCCAGGTCCGGACGTCCCCGCGCCAGGGGGTCCGCGGAGGCTGGCGGGGCGCGGCGGGGCCGGCGTTCCGCGGGCAGCACGTGCTGCCGGAGGGCGGCGGGGGAGCCCCGCACGGATAGGCTGTCGGCCTCGAGGCTTTGCCGGGATCTCCGGCCCCGAGGGGTGGTCGGGGGCGGCCCAGCGGGGGGGCGGCAAAGAGGGGGGGGGGATGACTACAGTCAACCCGCTCAGTACCCGTCGGCCGTCCAAGGTAGGTTAGTTTTGGATTCCCGGATCCCAGTCTCTTTCAAGCGCCTCCCTACTTCAAGGATCGATATGCTTGGCTGTCTTTTAATCTACCTCATCCGCCTTCCTCCTTCATGTCTCAACCTACTTTTTCCGACCGCCCTGTAAGGATGAGCGACTTCCCAAGGTTACCCGTGCATCCTTCCCCCTCGGCCCGTCCGTGGCCGCTTTCACTGGCCGCGGCCCGCTCGCAAAGTGTCGGCATGGCCCTCCAAGGCCCTCGCATCCTTAGCCTGCGTCTTTATTACACGGGATGGCTGTGGGGTTGTATGTCATGGCGGAGGCCATGATGTTTCCCCAGATTTCATGGCGCCTCTTCCCATTTCATTGCGTATCCGACCCCCCTTGGGCCGCGCACGTGCCGCTAGCCATGATTCCCCCCCCCTCTTGGACACCCGCCTCTTGGCCGCCCGCGACAAGACGCTGGTGTTGACTAGAGACAGCCTTTCTACCCCCTGGCGATATAGCGGGCGTGACCGTGGGGAGGGGAGAGGGGGGAGGAGGCTGGTCACGTGACGATTCGCGCCGGCGCCGTTTGGGATGGCTAATTCCCAGTCGGCACCGGCGCGAATCGTGACGAGACCAGGGGGGGAGGGGGTGACGGGGCTGGTCACCGGCGTTATCGCCCCAAAAGGTGGTCCGGGACGGTCGAGAGGGGGTCGTGATGACAAGGGAGAATGGATATCGAGGCTTGGGCTACAGCTTTGGCTATGATGTCTCCCCAGATTTCAGGGTCCACTTTTGCTCTTTCGACACGTCCCCCGGTACCCCTATCGTTTGCGCACATTCCTCGTGCCATGATTTGCGACTCCCTCTCCCCTTGGACGCCCCCCTCTTGGACGCTCCCGAGCTGGCGCCCAGAGGGAAGGAGAGATGGGAGCCGGAGCAGTAGTTCCAACAATGGACAGTTTTGTGACTTCTTGAGTGACTCTTGGAGGCCTCTTGCAGCTCCATTATGGTCATCCCTGTTGGGACTCTCGGGGTGTGTGGGACCCTCGTGGGCCCTTCTGAGCTTCTCTTGGGCTACCCTGGGGCCATTGATAGGCATGAGCAGTTGTTTCACAATTTTGGCCTCTCGGGGCATCCTCGAAATGCTACGTGGTGGCCACGCCGGACCGCCTTGCAGAGGGATTCTGACCTCTCAGAAGCATGCTGGAGGTAATGTTCAACCGAGCTTGACCATCTTGCGCGGCCTCGGAGGCCATATTTTGCTATCTGGGGTCAACTCCACTCAGTGGAATATTTTGCCAGTGAGCTGTTTGACTGGGAGGGGCGAAGTTAGCGCCCACACGCGCAGGCGTGCACACACTGGGCTGTCCCGCACCATCGGACCCGAGGCCGCCTCATGCGCAGCCGAGCCTTACCTCTGCGATTTCTTTCCAGCGCTCTTCAGAACCACACCGCTTCATGACCCCGCCGTTTCGTCTCCGCTCGTTGTCTGTGGTTCCTGGGTCCGTCCTTCGCTTTCTTTCGGCCCCTCGGGCCCTTCCGTCGCGCGTCGGCTACGTGCAGGAGTTATTGATCTGACGATACCCCAAGGATATAAAAGCAAATCCAAATAGTACAGACTTCCTGTCCCCGCCACCGGCCTTTCTTCCTTAGCGCCTCAAGACCAACCCGCTGTCCAGCCCCTCGTGCCCGCTGGCAGAGACGCCAAATCCAGGACCAGGACTTCTTTGAGAAGCACGGCGAGGGGATCATGGATTGTGTGTTGTTCCCAAGGCAAGCTGCGCCCCATACCATATTCATTATGATGTCGACTGTGCGAGCACCGTTTTTCGAACTCGATAATCATATGGCTAGGCAGCGCATGTGAGCTTACTAGTTGCCGAGCCCTTGTGCCAAACCCAGTTCAATGACGGCCGTACGCCTTGGGGTAGCAGTGTAACAGCAGTCCAACGTTTTTGCCCCTTAGCTCCACATGCGAACGCGATATCGTCCACGTATGCATTCGTCATGTGTTGCTCGATGGGCTGATAATAGCTTCTGAAGTGGAAGCTGCTGCCTGCCGCGAGAGACAAGTAGACTTGCGTGTGCAAGAATTAAGCGGCAGTTTGACTCGAGTGCATTTGTCACAGAAGTGTGATGCTGATCTGAACCAAACGGATGTTGGTCTTGAATCACATGTTGCATGTCTTCATCTTAAGTGGCCAGGACGAGATTCGGTTGAGCACGCCGATTTGAGGGCGCGAGTGCTAGAGTCGGTCATCAGGCAGGGATCGATGTTATCCTTTCGGAAGGGTGATAGTCTGAGCAAGCGTCTCGTTGGCAAAATAGCTCAGCTTTATCGGCGTCAGCGCTCCCCCTGGGCTCGACCATCCATTCTCGTTCCCTCCTTTGGATGACCACACTGTGGTTCCTGGATCTCCCGTCGTTCTTGTTTTTCCGTTGCGTATCACCGCCGGCCGTTGGCGTGGCACCGTGCTTGCGCTGGGCAGCACGGCGTGTGTCGGCGCGTCGACGCCACGACTGGACGAAGTGGCGGATGAGGTGCTGAGCCCCAGAGCACTCCCCAGCGAAAGGCCAGCCCAGCCGAAGCTGAGGAAAGCTCATGCCTTCGCAGCCCCCCCCCGCACCCCCCCCATGACCCCCGCCATCGCCGAAATAAAGAAACGCGCTCCAGGGAAGCGCAGCTGAAGTGGGACGCGCTCATCACCATGCACGAGCAGTGTCGAAGACTGGGGGTTCGCCAGCCGCCGCGCAGCAGTGACACAGCGCCAGGTGATGAAGCTAGTGCGCAGAGCCATGCCTGCGTCGCATGTCGACGTGCTTTGATGGGTCGTGTCGCTCAGAATCCACGGACATTGGGGCGTGCAGAGAGTTGTTCGCAAAACATTGCGGAGACGCTCCTTGAGGGATTGGCACGGCAGGGGAGAGGCAGGAGGGCCAGGAGCAAGGAGGAGGACAGAGAACAGGGTCAGACGAGCGTTGAAGATGAACGAAGACAACTCAATGCATAGGAGGGGGTACGAGGATGCGGCGAAGACGAACATCACATAATGCGACCCCAGTTGTGTTGCGGATCGAATTCGCCACCACGCTTGGGGAATGCCTGGGGGAGTGTGGGGCGGAGGGGGCACTCCGTGGAGCGCAGAGCCTGGACTCCTTTAGCTCGGAAGGCCCAGCAGTCACAAAGCTGGGGCTTCGTTCAACAAGTGGGAGCCTGTTGGCCTCGATGCGCCAGAGGGAGCTCGGCAGAACCAATGCAAGCGAAGGAAAATGGCCCGACACGCACGAATCGCTGCACACCGATGGCGGATCATCAAAGCCAGGAGGGGATGAGAACAACGGATGGTGCCCGCGAGGTGGCTAGCCAGCCCGTCGACATCCCTGCAGCCTTCGAGCATCGTGACCTCCTCGCGGATTGCCTGGGAGTGGTGGACCCCTTGTTGGCAAACCCGTCGGCCTTCTGGTTGTCTGGTTGTCGTCGAGCTCCGGCTGCGTGATCCTGCCGTTTGCGACCTCGTTCTGGCCGAGGTAAAACGTGACCTCGATTGCTTGGATTCCCTCAAGCGTGTCGGCCTCGTCAGCCCAGAGGTGGATCCTGGCAGGCTTCGGAATTGCCAGGCGTAGCGGCGCCAGTGCGCAGCAGACCGTCGCGAGAATGTCGCCATGGAGCTTGTAGCCGCCACCCGCGAGTTTGTCAAGAACCGTTTCTGCCGGCGTAGTCATCACCGTCCCCGGTGGAAGCTGAGGAGGAGGCGGAGGAGGAGACGAAACTTGGAGGATATGGGGCGCGCGGCGGTCGGGGGGATTGTGTTGGCAAGGCAGGGGACTGATAAAGCAGCGGGCGGGGCAGCGCGAGGCGGCAAGCCAGGCGGGTCGTCAGAGGAATTCTGCCCTTGAGGGTGGAGGGAGGAGGAGTGGCGGAGGGGGAGAAGGAGGCAAACCCCAGTGCAGTCCTAAACTCACCCACATCCTATTGCGAAGGTCCTGTGTTCTTCTGCACCTCCTGCCATTCCATCCCTGCCCCATCTCCCCCTTGCCTTCCGCCCTTCACTCCCTCATCCCTCCCACATGCTGATGGACAGACAGAGACACACTTATACGTATACATTCGCTGATCGAAGACGCCTACGTGGAATCATTTCCGCTTCCTGTCTGTCTGGACGCGCCTATGTTGCCGAATGTTGTGACCAGAGCTCGGTCACGTTATCGGGCTATGTGCTCCCCCAGTCGTTGTGGAAACCCTTTGACGAATACGTGTGGGAGAAAGAAGAAGAAGCGGAGGAGAGGGAGGAAAAGGAGGAGAGTTTCAGGTCTCTTGGGAGCTTCCTGAGGGCATTAGGGAGGCCCTGTAGGGGCCTCCTTGGGCCTCTTGGGGGTATTTGGGGGCTTTTGGGGGACCCATGTGGCTGTCTTGGGATGTTCCTGGCCCGCCTGACGCCGTCGGAGGCCGTCTTGGAGGCCACCGGGCTGTCTTGGAGCCTCCTTGGGGCGCATCAGGGCCGCCTTGGAGGCGATCCTGGGCGTCTTGAAGCCCTATTTGAGCCCTCTTGGGGCGTTCTTGAGGGCTTCTTGGGGCCTCGTGGGCGCTCTGGGGGCGAGCGTAGGGGGCCTCGTGGTCCGTCTGGGGCCGCCTGGAGGCCGAGAGGAAGCAGCTGCAGCACTCCTTCAGGCACCGTATGAACATCAGCGATGTTGGCCCCTTGAGGCTTTCCTGGAGGACCTCTTGGAGGCCTCTTGGAGGCTTCGTGGTTGCCTTTTGGGCCGAATTGGGCCATCTTGGGCCGCCTTGGGTGCATTTGGGGCCGTCTGGGAGGCATCTTGGGCTCTCGTGGGGCCATCGCGGAGGCCATCTTGGCTGGCTTGGCGGCCATGTGGGACCGTCTTGAAGCTCTCTTGGGGCCGCCTTGACGGCCTATTAGGTCGTCCTGGGGCTATCTTGGAGGCCTCCTGGACACGCTGGGGGCGTTCTTGGTGGCCTCTTGGGCCGTGCTAGGCCGACTGAAGGCACAACAACGGAGCAGGTACCAAAATACTTCAAACATTTGGTGGATCATGGATGTTGGCTTCTTCGGGCCTTCCTAGATGTCCTCGTGGAGGCCTCTTGGGCCGTCTTGGAGGCCTCTTGGGGGCGTCGTGGGTCGTCATGGGCCATCTTAAGGCCATCGTGGACCGTCTTAGGTGCATCTTGAGCCGTCCTGGATACAGTTGGGGCGCTGAGGAAGGAACCCTTTTCGTTGGGGAGGGGCTCGGTGTTCCTTAGTTGTTTTGTAGTTCGCCTTTGGTTTTGTTTAGGGTTTCGATTGGAAATCGAAGTTTAACTTATGGGAAAAAGGGGGCCTCGTTCCTTATTTAGGGTTCCTTAGGTCAACGCCCCGACTGTACATCATGTGTCCACCTTAGGCTCTCTGGGACCATCGTGGCCGTCTTGGAGGCCATCTGAACCGTCTTAGAGGCCCTCTTGGCCATCTTCAAGGCCATCCTGGACCATCTTGGCCGTCTCGGGGAGTTGTGTCCCGGATTTTCTGATCTCTTCGGGTAGCCGTCGTTATCGGTTGAATGACCGCTAGGAATGTGAACCACAACAACAAGTTACATGACGTTCGGCACGCCGTGCACCCCTGTGCCAAGCCACATGGGGCGGCGGATGACGGAAAGCGCGCGTTAGCGTGCGGTCCGTTAGTCGGAAGAAATTGGACTTGGGGGAGTTCGAGGGGGATGGCATCGCCAGGCCCGGATGACGGAAAGCGCGCGTTAGCGTGCGGTCCGTTAGTCGGAAGAAATTTGACTTGGGGGAGTTCGAGGGGGGTGGCATCGCCAGACCCGGAGCTAATTGCCCTCCCGCCTCGTTTTTTATCGAGTAGGACGGCGCCCAAGACGGCCCAAGTAGCGCCCAAGACGGCCCAAGAGCGCTCCAAGAGAGCCCAAGACCGCCCAAGGCGGCCCCAAGACGTCCCAAGAGGCCTCCACGACGCCCCAGGAGGCGCCCACGAGGCGTCCCAAGAGTGCCCCAAGAGGCCAAAATCATTGATTTTCTTAAGGAAAACGTGCATTTTTAGCATATACGGCTTTTCGCCTTTCATGGCGTTGAAGACGGTCCAAGAGGCCCCCAAGACCGCCCCAAGACGGCCCAATATGTTCCCAAGAGGCCCCCAAAATAGCCCAAGAGGGCGCCAAGACGGGCAAAGAGGCGTCCAAGACTGTCCAAGAGGCCCCCAAGAGCGCCCCAAGAAGTCCCAAGAGGCCCCCAAGAAGGCCCCAAAACGGCCCAAGAGGGCGCCAAGACGGCCCAAGAGGCGCCAAGACGGCCCAAGACGGCGCCAGGACGGCCCTAAGAAGGCCCCAAAAGGCCCCCAAGAGAGCCCAAAGACGGCCAAGGCAGCCTAGTCCCTTCACCCCCGCAGCCCAGAAGCTCCCAGGAGGCCCCAAGAGGCCCCCGAAAAGCCCCCAAAGGTCCCCAAGAGGCACCCAAGAGGCTCCCCAAGAGCCCACCAAGAGGCCCAAAATACGCCCAAAGACTCTTAGCACCGCGGCTCCCAAGAGCGAGCGGTGACGTAATTAAGCTGATAAGACCAAAGCTCCCAACCGAGAGCTGCGGCGTAATAAGTTCTTGACGCGAGGGCACAGGGACGGGCGGCAACGCGTGGACAACGAGCGGTCCACGCAAGGAAAACGCTGGGTTCTGGAAAGCTGGCAGCCCAAACGCGGAAAACGCAACGCGACCCCTCCAAAACAAGAAACGCGCTCAAAGAAAGCTCCGCGACTCTCCGAGGCTGAGATAGGACAAGAGCGAGGGGAAGGGAGTCAATACGAGGTGTACGAGCGGACGAGCCAGCGATCTCGTGCGCTCTGAAAGTAAGTGCGCTTTCCGTCCCCGTGCCAAGCAGGTCTAACGGCCTTCGGCCCATTCCGCCATCGTGCTTCGGCTGCAGGTCAGAGGCCTCTTGGATGCCTGGGGATTCTCTTGGGAGGCCTCTCGGGAGCCTCCTGGAGGCAGCTTGGGGGCCTGTCGGGGGACGTTTCGGAAACTCTTGGGGTCTGATTGAGGTGCAGGATTTTCTGTGCCAGCACTTGTCATACATGCAAGGCTGTGTGTAGCAATCCGCGAGGGGTGTGTTCATGATTTGCATTGTTCCGCCACACGTGTTCTTCTTTTTGATGCATGAATCACGCCGTTCCCGCAAGCGGGACGAGACGTCCTAGGGCGCTCGATCGGACTTGTGCTGTGTGTGCTGTGGGGGCCTCCTGCAGCTTCTGGGGGGCCTCTCGGGGGCCTGCTGGCGGCCTCGGAGGTCGTCTTGGGGGCGGAGGGCTCGAAGCGTCGCTTCGTGCTTCCCCTCTTCGGGCCTCTCGCGGGGCCCCCATCGGAGGCAGTCTTGCCTCTTGGCGGCCTCCTGTGCGTTTTGGATGCCCTCGTGGGCTCTTGGGGCCATCTTGGGGCGGAGGGCTCGAAATGTCCGTTCGGGTTCCCCCTCTTTGGGCCCTCCTGGGAGCCTTTTGCCGCCCTCTTGGGCCATGTTGGCGCCCTCCTGGGAGCTCCTTGGGCCGTTTTGCTGCCATCTTTGGGGCTTCGTGGGCCGCCTTGAAGTACTGGCAGCCCGAGAAGTCGAGGACGCTAAAATCCTCCAACCACCCAATGACAATCAATGATTGGAGCATCTCGGAGCTCTTTGGGAAGTGCGCTTGAAGCTCTCTTGGGGCGTCTCGGAGGCGTCTTGGGCCGCCTGGAGGCCATCTTGTGCGTCTTGGGGCGATCATTCGGCGACTGGGCCGTCTTGGATGTTCTTGAGAGCCTCTTGGGGGCCTCTTGGCCCGTTTGAAGCCCTCTTGGCCCGCAAAACGTCATGCGAGAACATGCATGGAGCCCCAGTGGGCACGGGGGAAGCCCCGGGGAATGCGGTAGTTTGAGGTCGGGGCCTCGGAATAGTCATTCCGTCGGGACTGAGGACGGCGGATTCCAAGGGACACGAGGACATTCCAATTCGTGCCTCAGGCCATGGAGGCGACGGATAGCCTGCGTAGAATCCCTGCCGCCGCGCGGTGCATTTGGCTTGACGCGCCGTGCCACGCCCAAGTCAGCTGGTGGCCGTGCCAGAGCCGCTCCGTCTCGCCAGCCTTACGCATATCCTCTCTGGCGAGCGCCAGCTCTTCAGGACAAAGGCGGCGTGATCGACGTGATCCCCGACGCCACCATCCAAGCCGAGTCATTGTGGGCCGCTCGCCTCCGCAGCCTAGCAGCTGCCGCCTTCCACGCAGCGCTGGCATCACACGTGCAAAGTTCCGCAGGCGCGGATGCAGGGCAGTTTGAAGGTACTTTCAGTGCGAGCGGTACGATTCCCCCGGCGTCAGCCAGGGCCTCGGTAACAGCCACGCGTCCTACCGCCCAACAGCGACAAAGAGGGGCAATCCGCATGCGTTTTGCGCGGCAGCCTGCCGCCGCGATAGGCTCTCAACCGCCTGCCTTGTCTCCGGGCCCCTCTGGAGCAAGCAACGCGGCACTCTACGGCGAGATGGGCCCCGGTCGCTTCACCTGCCGATGTACCCTCATTGTCATGTACACCCCCGTTTGCACAAGGCAGGGTGCTCATCCTTGCGCCTGCGTGCGTTCACAGCTCCGAATCACAGGAGGAGACGATCAAGCCAAAAGTTCGTGGACCCCTCCAGGGGAGGATCGATCGAGAGGAGAGTCTGGGGGCGGCAAAGAGGGGGGTGATGACTAGGGGGGGTGGATATCATGGCAGGGGCCATGGTATTTCCCCAGATTTCATGGCGCCTCTTATTCTTCTTTCATTGCGTCCCTGGCCCGCCCGCTGGGCCGCGCACATGCCGCCGGTCATGCTTTGTACCCCCCCCCCCTCTTGGACACCCCCCTCTTGGCCGCTCCCGAAGAACTGACGCGTCAACTCGAGTCTGGCGGTCTTCGAAAACGCCGAGGGGGTGGCAGGCGGCGGGAGAGGCGGCGGGCAAAGCCTGGTGAGCAGGAGGGAGCGGGGCGGAGGAGCCCGGGGGGGACACAGGAGGAGGAGGAGGAGGAGGAGGAGGAGGAGGAGGAGGAGGAGGAGGAGGGGACACTCTGCTGTTCCTCATTGGGTTTGGGCTCCGCCTGGTACTTTGTGGGCCCCGGAAACGGCAGGGCCGTTTTTTCACCGTTTCCCCAAAAAAATGTCCCTTGAAAATGGAAACGGCAAAAAAAGGCGACTGGGAACGGCAGAAAAACGGCTCCAGGATCGGAACTCGAGCCAGAACCGGTCAAAGAACGGCGACGGAACCGGTAAACAAACGGCGTCGGAACCGACAAAACAACGGCAAAACGGACCCGGTAAAACAACGGCCATGCCGTTTCCAGGGCCCACTGAGGCCTGGGATCATCCGAAGGTGCCCCCAGGACGCGAAGAAGCGAGGGAGGTGAACAAGGCACGGGCACAGCTTGGCTGTCGACGAAGGCCCTGCAACGCAGTGTGCGGTGCGGGCGGAGACAAACTCGGCCGACGAGCACGCACGCATTGTCAGCATCAGAACCGCGCGGGGAACAGGAGGAAGGCGGAGTGGCCAGCAGCATCACGAGGAGGCAGCTGGGAGGAGGCGAGAGGCCAGCGCGCAGCGCTGGCGGCCAGCCGCGCGATCCCCCCTCGGCGGAAAGGTGCGGAACCGGAAGGCCATCGCGGCCGCCAGCCCCGAGGCTCCCGGCGCCGTTCCCGCCACTCGCGGCTCCCATCCATTGGCCACCCCTCCGTGAGCACACTGGAGGTGTTTGCTGTATCCACGGGCGCGTCCACGCCAGTCGCTGAGAGCAGGCATCTCTGGGTTCCCAGCTCCCGCTCTGCTTCAAGCGCCCTCCTGCCGCAGAATCGATATGCTTTTGCTATGTGCTGTTATTGTCTACTAGTGGGCCCTGGAAACGGCAGAGCCGTTTTTTTACCGGTTCCGTTTTGCCGTTTTTGTTCGCCGGTTCCGACGCCGTTTTTTTTACCGGTTCCGTCGCCGTTTTTTGACTGGTTCCGGCTCCGGTTCCGATCCTGGAGCCGTTTTTTTTGCCGTTTCCGGTCCCCGTTGTTTTGCCGTTTCCATTATCAAGGGACATTTCTTGGGGAAACGGTGAAAACACGGCCCTGCCGTTTCCGGGGCCCACAAAGGTCTGGGAGGGCCTGAACCCAATTCGCTTTAACCGTCTTCCTGCTTCTTCTTTTTTACCTACGCATGCTTCTTCCGACCGACCTGTAACGGTCTCGTTCCCCGGGCCGACCGGGTGTGCGAAGGGCGGGGGGCCTGGGCGCTCCCCACCCCCCGAACGTGCGGGTGCTCGCGCGCATGCTGTGGCGATCGCGGCGCGCCCCCGCCCCGACGTGCCCCACCCCCTCGCGGGCGCTGCGGTTCCGAGGCGGGAGTTGCCACGTGACCGCCGCCCGGAGGGTCAGTTTTCGGAGCCTCGGCAGGCGGTGTATTTGGACATATTCGGGCCCCCGGGGGCCGAAATATGTCCACATCTTCGCCCGCTGGGGCACCAGGGCGTCGGTTCTCAGGCCTTGGGTATGGATAAATCCCTGCCTCGCAGCTGTTACCTGGGGCCCAACCCCAGGTAGCGACTTGCACCGGAAATAACAGCAAGAAGCAATTTCTTTGTCATTCAACGAGGTGCCAGTCTCGTTGATTAAATGCAGATGCAGATGTACACACCGGCGGGTCGGACTCGAGCTACGAAGTTGTTGTATCGACGACTCGGAGGCTGAGTTCATTGGGTAGGAACTGATCCGTTGCATAACCCTGTTCTCGTGTGTGACCAGGGGGCAGGGAGGTGGAGTTCTGCAGCCGTCCGCTGTCAGCTTTCGGCGCGGATGCTGGAGTGCCCCGACCCGAGGGCGCCAACCTTAGGGCAGGACCATCACAGCCCCAGGATCGGCCTGGCCATACTCCGCTCGTGTGGATCGCTGGCGCCCGCCTTGGGAATAGGGGGCCACATGCGAACCCTACCCCTACCCCCCACGACTTTTGAGGGGGAGGGTGGAGTTCACTTTGCTCGAGAGCTCCCGAACGAAGTGAACCCCACCCTCCCCCTCAGAAATCGTGGGGGGTAGGGGTAGGGTTCGCATGTGGCCCCCTAGCGAAGGCGTCCGTGCGAGCGGCAGCACGGGCGTCCCGGTATGGGCCTGGCCGGGATCGGGAGCCCAGGACTCCCAGGGGCCCGCGCGAGAGGCGCCGTGGCCGTCCTGCGAGGCGCCGGCCGCCGTAAGGGCGCCCCGAGCTGTGCCAGCCTGCTCCGTGTCGAGCAGTGGCGAAGCGTCCCGGCTCGCCTAGAGCCCCACCAAGCAGTGTTCTAAGAGCCTCTTGTGGTTCCCACGGGATGTTCTTGGAGCATTTCTGGCCGGGGCTGTCTTGTTTTACCACGTCGGGCCTGTGTTCTAAGAGCATTGTTCTTGTTCTTAGAACATCTCTGGGTTCTAGGAAAATGTCGTGGTACGACTATAGGAATGCCGGGACGGTCGGTCCCTGCTCAACTATGGCCGTGTCCCATCTCGGGTCTTGGGAGCGTGGTTCTCTTTCTGGCTTGGGGCATAAGGGGCATTATACCCCCCGGCCCCCCACTTCCCTCCCTAATAACGTAACGCCCCTCCCCCCCAGTGCGCTCCGGGCACTGCCGCCGTGCGAACAGCGGGGGGAGACCTTACATTATACTCCCCCCCTGGCCCCTCCCCCCCCCTATAATGCACATTATCGCCGAACATGAAGAAACGCGCTCCTAGCGTGTCAGTGGGCCGGTGATGGAGCGCTCACCTCCGCGCGCCCCTGCGGCAAGGTTCCCGACGAGGCAGTCGAGGGCGAAGGGCGAGCACCCTCTGCGATGCCGTCGGCTGGGTCGCCAGGGACCCCGGGCCTTCGCCTTGCCTGAGCGGCGGTTGCGGCTTCCACCGTGGGGAAGGGGGCAGTCGTCGAAGAAGGAAAACCACATGAACATAAACTTTTGGCGCTCCGCGCGGAATTCTTGGATCCGCGCTGGGCCCCCCTGGCGGCGCCTCCAGCGCCGCCCCTGGGGCGCTCCGCGCGACAGGGAGGGGGGTCCAGCGCGAATACAAGAGATCCGCGCGGAGCGCCAAAAGTTTATGTTCATGTGTTTTCTTCTTCTAAGTCAGGAAGCAGGGGCCCAAGATCAGGAAGGATGTACAGTGGTTCTCTGGAGCAGGGACAAGGGGAAGAGGGCGAAGGAAGAGGAGGCACAGGACGAGGAGACGGCGGAGAGGGAGAGGGAGAGGGAGAGAGCGAGGAGGGGAATGGGACAAGTTAGGTGCGCGCGCGTCAACATCTGACATCCTACCCCTCCCTCCCATCCCTTACCATGGTGCTGATTTTCTCTATCCGCGGACGCGTGTCGTAGCGAACCTGTGGCTCCGCGCGCCTGTGCGTAGTGGGTTGTGGTGCGCGTGCGTGCGTGCGTGTGTGCGTGGTTGTGGTTGTTGTGGTGGTGGTGGTGGTGTGTGTGTGTATGTGCGTGTGTGCGCGTGTGTTGTGGCGTGACGTGGTGTGGCGTCTTGGTGGTTTGGTGGTGGGCCAGGTGCGTACGTGTGTGATGGCGGTGGTGGTGGTGGTGGTGGCGGTGGTGGTGTGTGTGTGTCTGTGTGTGTGCGTGTGTGTGTGCGCGTGTGTGTGTGTGTGTGTGTGTGTGTGTGTGTGTGTGTGTGTGTGTTGCGTGCGTGCGTGCGTGCGTGTGCGTGCGTGCGTGCGTGCGTGCGTGCGTGCGTGCGTGCGTGCGTGCGTGCGTGCGTGCGTGCGTGCGTGCGTGCGTGCGTGCGTGCGTGCGTGCGTGCGTGCGTGTGTGCTGTGTGTGCTGCGCGCGTGTGATGTGGCGTGACGCGGTGTAGCGTGGTGGTGGTGGATGGGGTAGTGCGGTGGTGGTGGCGGTGCGCGGTGGTGGTGCGCGTGCGTGCGTGCGTGCGTGCGTTGGTGGGTGGAAGTGGCGGTGGGTGTGCGTGCGGCGGGGCGGGGTGTGGTGCGGCGCGGTGGTGGCGGGCGGATGGGCGCGCGAGAAAGAGGCCCGCGCTGGGGCGAGAACGCCATCCTGAACGACGGAGGCAAAACACCGATGCGAAAATGAGGCCCACGCTGCAGCGGGATCACGATTCGGAGCGATTCGGGAGCAGAAATGAAGCCGGCGCCTGAGCGAGAGTAGCATTTTGAAAAACACGCAGGCGAAAACCCAACTCCAGGGAATCCTGTGTGTGAAAAAATAGTACGCGGGGGGTATTCGGCCACTCCCAGCACGCCATCAGGGGAAGAGGGAGAGTAGTATTCATATTGAGTAATTGTGGAGGGGCAGGGGCGGATGAGGAGGAGGGGAGGAGGAGAATGAACGCCATGGACTCGGGGAATCCGCGACATCGCGCAAATTCGCAAGTGAGACTCGGTGGCGAGCTAATTACTCCAGCCAAGCGTACCCACCGAGGTTGTGTCCTGTCAGGGCCACGCTCGGCGAGGCTCCGCAGTCGGAGGCTGTCTGTTTCCAAACTGCGCCTCTGGGACCGTCGCCTGCCCGGGTTTCCACGGGACCTTTGGATTTCCACCGTGGCGTGGGCAATGAGCGCGCGCCGTCTGCTTCCCCACCGCCCACCGCCTGGAGGGTCAGTTTTCGGAGCCTCGGAAGGCGGTGGATATGAACAGATTTGGGCCCCCTGGGGCCGAAGTATATCCATATCCACCGCCCGCTGGTGCACCAGGACGTCGGTTCCCAAGCGGTGGATATGGATAAGTCCCCGCCTCGCACCATGCCCCAGGATGACCCCATGGCTTCAACAGGGCCCCAACAGGGACCGACGGAGCCCCGCATTGTGTCAGCAAGTGCTGCAGCTGATTCTGCCGACGGCACGCTGCGACGCCAGAGCCTGTCGGGAGGCCTCGAGGCTTGGAGAGGGGAAGATGACGAGGAGGAGGAGGAGGAGGAGGAGGAGGAGGAGTAAGAGAAAGGAATACAGAAGGTGTGTAATGACGGCCACGCACGGGTGCGTTAGCATCCATGTGCACGTGCTCTTCACGCTTGTTGTTCCATTCTGTTGGCCCGTGGCCACGCTTGAGGATCTCCGCGGACATGGAGTGAGATTGGGCGTTCTTGCCTCGTCCATTGTTGTTGTTGTCTCTTGCTTCCTCTCGTGCCCTATCATGTGTTCAGAAGATGGATAAGAGCACTCCGCAAGTCGCTTTCGACTCTGCGTTGCGATTTGTGAGCGTAACAGATCGATCGCTCCCGACGTTACAGAGGTAGCCGCAGATGAGCAGCATGAGAGACTGCTGATCCTTTGATGACAGGGGCCCGGGGCGGAGCATGGAGAGTCAGCGTAAGCAGTTTGATTGAAGAGGCTGCAGAAGTTTGGCAGGCTGAGGTCTGGGGAGGTGGATGGGGGAGGAACAGGGAGGAGGAACGAGGCGCGAGAGGGGTGGCTGGGGATGTCAGGTGCTCGAGACGCCGACGAGGAGGAGAGAAGAAGAGAAGGGGGGGCCAGTTGCTGGAGGTTTCGGGTGCGGGGGGGAGGAAGACGAGGAGAGGAGGGAGAAGGAGGAGGACGAACAGCAACATGACAAGCACTGCAGCGTTAGCACGAGGGGGGCCAGAGCATAATGATAAGGGGAAGACGGCCGAAGGCGGTTGATACATTGGGGGTGGGGAAGGCTAGCTTAATTGGCATGCCAGATCATCCGCTGACCTCGTCAACGTTACAGAAGCTGGCGATGTCTGGCCAGCACGATCCACCAACATGCGCAATCGGGTCACACCCACATCCCAGCGTTGGTTCTAAATGCGAACTCAAGCACACACTATCTGGCACACGGTGACAGGCAAGCAAAACTGCTAGCAGGCAATCGGTCACCCAAGGTAAACTACAATCTGACGCTACAGAGCAAGCAGCATCACATAAACCACATGGTACTCGCCTAGCGGCAGGTCGCGCATGCATTCCAAGAGCGGACAGTGTCAAGCATTGGCGAACACCGAGCCAGTGAAAGTCACGTAGTACACATCTCGAAGCGATGCGCGCTCGGCTTCGTCAGTGAGGCTCTGCGCTTGCGAGCGGCACAGTAATAATGACGCTATCACGCCTCTGAAACCAGTGGCGCCGGCGACAGCGCCCAGATTCGATAATTGGGCCCGAGGGTGGAGAGGCCGAGTTTTGCCCGCAATCATCATCCGTCCTGTCTACTGCCGACTGTATCGCCTCCTCCGGCATCGGATAAGTGTCACACCGCAAGCATCCGTTCTGAGCAACAGGTTGCGCTTGCGTGGGAAAGGTTGGAAAATAGTTGCTACCGTTGCATCATGTATTTCCGTTCCTCCACAGTGTGCGTCAATGTTTTGATTTGTTCCTTGTGGCATGTGCACTACGGCTCATTGAGGGGATGCTCCAGGCTGCGTCAGGCGGTGTTTTGAGGTAGGGTGGGGCCATGCTCGAGGCAAACGGTATGTTGAAGGCTTTGGCACATTGGCTCAGCTTGGAGGTAGACTTCCACAGATTTCTGGTCAAATCTGGCCCAATGTTGGAGGTGTTCAAAATTTGCCATTCTTCTCAGGGAGGGACGCGGGTTCTGTACGCGTGCTTCTTGGAACGTTGACGCGGTCCTAGGGACCCATTTTCTGCAGCACGCGAGAGAGCACATTCGACGCTTGCCCGTTGTGGTTGTGGGCTTTGCCCAGCCGAGCCAGGCTCCGCCGCCTCAGTCACCATCAGTATGCGGCTGGCGGTGATTTTGTTTCCGCCACCTTGTGCCTGGGCCGAGCCAGCAATTCTTCCTACCAGAGCGCTCCAGTTTCGCTTTTCTAAATCAGGGCACCCTGCTTGTGCAACACGAGCGTGCCCACTCTCGCCCAATGAACAGCCACGCCCGAACCATTCTTTGGGAGTGCCCGAGCCCCTCCTTCCCGCACGTGCCCCGCATTCGGGCGCGCCGCCAGGTCGAACACGGCGCCCTCCCCGCCCTGTTGCAGGTCCTCGGGGTGGCTCGAGGGGGGTGCTCAGGATGGAACACTTGCAGTTTTGGCCGAGATGAGGCCACTCCATCCTCATCTTCTCCCTCCCTCCTCGTCTCCCCTCTACCTCATCCTCCGCCTCGTCCGCTTCCTCCGCCTCCTCCTCGTCGTTGAAGGCCTTGCAAACCTCCTCCCCACCCTCTATCCTCGTCGGGGTTCCAGGTTGTGATGTGGTTGCGTGTTCACGTTGAGGCTCACGACTTGGTTCGTCGCTAGCCGACGCCATCTTCAACATCGCGTTTTGCCGCCCGCTGACTGAGGTCTACGACAAGCTTGCCATCACAGGAGGCTCTCTGTCACTGGCGGTCGACTCGACCATTCGGGAGGTGTCCCAGAACATGTGCGACCCCGGCCTGACGACGCGCTGTTCTTACAGGCACCTCCCCCTGAGGACGTTACGCTCGAACTTGCAGGAGATATGGCAGATGTGATCCACGAGACCATGCTATCATACGGCCTCAGAGTTAAGTACAACAAGTCGGGTAGTGTAGTTATTCTTGAAGGGCTCCAGACGGTTGCACTGTCGTACCAGCGAGAGCAATCACATGATACTTCTGATCTCTCCACGTGGGGGGTCCAAGTACATGCAGCATTTGATTACAATTACCTTGAAACGGTCTTAGACGCCTTCGGCGGCTTAGAACCGAGGATCGCGGCATCAGCTCAGAAGCAGCGCAAGGTATTCGAGCCGATACGACGGATGACGGCGAAATTCCGTCGGATGTTTTTTCCTGCGCGCCTCAGTATAGCCGACGTTCTAGCTAATTCACGCTTGTTCTATCAGATAGAGGCGTGGTGCAAGACGTCGGCAGCACAGTTGAAGAAGCTCAAAGCGCCGAGAATCTACTCCTGTCGCATCATTCAAGGACGTGCCCATCACCAGGACTCAGAGCGGCACTACACGGATGAGGAAGTACGGGTCGCAGGCCGCAGGTTTCTATTCGTTCAAGTAGCACTACAACAACGTCAGCTGACTCCTTATGTTAACGCTCCAACAGCCCTTCTTTCTGTGCGACCAAGTTGCAGCCCAAGAAGGATCTTGGAGCCGTTCAGTAGAGGAAGATCTTCGCTGGCTTGTTGCTTACGGCGAGGACCCCACCTTGAGAGGAGACTGGACTTTGAGGCGGTGGGTTGAGTTCGCCAAGACGAATGGAAAGACGTTGCGAAGGGGGATCCAGTTGGCGTGGACCTGACACTATGAGACGGAGTTGCAGCAGATGCAGTACAGAGCGTGGGAAACTACGATCCGAGGATGGAGCGAGGCTTATGAAGCTGAGATGTCCGAAGAGCTCGGCCACATCTGCTACGAATGGGGCTCCAGCTTTTAGCACGAAGAGAGCACGGAGGCATCACATCACCATGCACAATCCCATCGGCACGGCGCAGCTGATGGCACGCGGCACGTAATGTGGAGCACGTGGTACGCTATCTGGTGATAGGTCCAACTTGATCAGGCACCTTCGCAGGCCGGCGAGCCATTGCATCACTTGGCGTGCGGAGAACCATCTTGTTCTGGAGCACGACGAGGTTGCGGCAGTTCGACAGGACGATCTGCACCGAGACCGGCTACTGGTTCGATCAGGGCACATTTACCGTCAGGTTGCGAAGCAAGCGCGGTGTGACGTCCACCGGGGTAATCGTGTGTCAGCTTTTGAGCCAGTAGAACCACCAGAGGTGCGTATGTTGGTTCACCCTCCAGCACCTCCTTTACATCGACGCCCAGGTGCAATAGCTTCTCACCCTACATGTTACCATCTTGGAGCTACTATGGCTCATGCTGGAGATCGGGGGAGTTGGATCAAGGTGCTTCTCGGCCAGCCAGTATCAGTGGTTAGGATGGGCCCCCAGGAAGCACTTGACAAGTTTCCGGCCCATGAGAAAGTGTACGACCTGATCAATGAGATGTCTAGAGGAAAGGGCCTCGGTGTCTTTTTGGGGCTTGATGTGCTCATTTGGCTTCCTGCATGTTTTCATGGTGTCGGCAATGTGCCAGGGTTGTGGCTACGTGGTTCTAATCATCCACTGGGCCCCCAAGACTTTCTGACGAGAAGCGTTCGAGGGTACAGCTTCATAACGTATTGATGATACTCTACTGGAAGGTTCTAGAGATGACAGGTCTTTTGGGAGTACCTTGTGTTTTTCAATGCCGAGCTGATGCTGTCGCGCAGCTCAAGATGCACTTGGACAGAATCACATATTGCTCGAGACCAGACAGACGCTTACCGACGACGACGCGCGGAGGCGCTGTTTCGTTCTCTTTTGTGGAGTGGCATGCTATGCTGGACGGCGAGATGGCTCCTCTTGCCGGGGACGGGCGGCATGTGGCCCGACGACCTAGAGTAGGCGTAGCTAGCTGGGCTACGCACTGGCCACTGGCCATGACCCACGCGCTCGCGAGGGCGCTGCTTCTTGGTACCCGTAGCACACCTGATTCCACGGGTGGTGCCAATTGAACAGGCTTGGCATCGCTCGGACGTGTGCATTTTTCCTTCGGCGAGGACCAACGAGGAGCATCCTTGATCATTTGGCGAAAAAGCCACGCACGAAACCGAAAAAAAAACATAGGGAATAGACGTCCGAGCGATGGCCAGTAGGGGGTGGGACACGCTCGAGGACTTTGGAGTATGGGGGTGTCGAGGGATGGCTTGCACAGGCAGGGCGCGGGGGGGCCGGAGGCACAAGGTTTATCGGCGGCTGTAACATGTTGCTCGAGCCTCCCTGCGCCTCGCCCTGCCCAGCAGAGCGTGGTCGTCTCGCTCCGCCTACCATCATCCTCTCTATCGTTGAGTTCGCTCCTCCCAGAGGAATTATTAATCGCATTTTCCTGCGTGTGCTCGTTGCCGACATTCATTTTCCGACATGCTCAGCGCACGGTCTGCCCTCTAGGGGACCGCTCGGGTTACCGGAGCTGGCACGCAGACTTCCGTTCCGTTCCGTTCCGTTCCTCCCATGTCCCTCCCAGTCTGTGCGTGTTGCGCCTGACTGTTTGCACCGAGCAGGGATTGCGTGACCTGCGGTGCAGATGCCTGTGCCGAGGTAGGGTCGGGCAGTCAGGATATCCCAATGGTTGTTCCACATGTACGAGGTCATTTGTCTCATCGCTCCAAGAGCGCCCTCCCCGCTGCATCGCTCCAAGAGCGCCCCTGGGAGAGGGCTGACTCATTCCGTCGGCGGCGGCTTCGTGCTACCATGGGAGCGGTGCATCGGAGTATGGGACCTCGCTGCGAGATCATTGAGTGCAGTATGTGTGTTTCCTCTTCTGTATTGTTTGCTCGTCTCCTTGCCCTCCTCTCTGACGGACTGACCACCCTTGGGCTGGCCACCCGCGTGGCTGTCGAGGGCGGCGATCTGCGAGGCACACCCGCGATAGCATCAACGGCATTCGTAGTACCCATGCCTTGCCACGCGCGGGAAACACCCGCGAACAGGGCACGGAGCCCGCCAGGATGTTGCCATTCTCGTCTCGTGTTTGTGCACTGCGCTTGCCTTTTCCGTCGCGACTGCCACTCTGCATGACTTGAGGGGCGAGGCAGCTAGGGAGCGAATGGGAGTGGCGTGAGGCACCGCCAGGCGCTCGCCCCGCAAGCAGACCTCGCCTTCTCCGCCATCTTCGCCATCAGTGTCTCTGTTTATCTTCACTTTGCTTCCATCCACTTCGACTTGTTCCTCGGCCAAGCTGGCCGCCTGTCCTTGCAGGGCGGCTTCTCTCGACTGCTCCTGAGGCCCCCAATGATGTCCCTTCAGGTCCGTTGCGTCTGGTCTTGGAGAGAGGTGGTCGAGCGCAACACTTTCCTGTTTCTCGCCTGGCCCTCCGCCCGCGGGCCACTCACGCTACGGGTGGAGCGCCCAGCGGCCTGCGTAAGGAAAGGAGAAGGAGGAGGCGGAGGAGGAGGCGGAGGAGGAGGAGGAGAAGTCACGAGATGTGGCGGAGGATCTCGGCCTCAAAACCTCGTCTTTAGCCTTCTCCTCCTCCTCCTCCTCCTCCTCCTCCTCCTCCTCCTCCTTCTGCCCCCCCTTCTCCTTCCCCTCCCTTCTCCCTCCCTCCCCCACTCCTCCCCCCCCCCTTCTCTGCCCCCCCCCCGTCCCCTCCCTCCCCCCCCCTGGCCTTTCCCATTGCTGCCTCCCGTGCATCTCCCCCTCCCCCCCCCCCCAGCCCGCACCCCGACAGCTTCGCTGGCACCCGCCGCGAGGCGCTTCTCAGTGTGGCGCGCCGCGCGGGCGCCCCCCGCCGCGCCGGGACATGAAGCGCGCCGCCGCCCGCCGCGATGCGAGGCGCGGGCTCCAGCACCCGCCTCGGCTCAGAGGAGAGGACACCGCCACCGCTGCAGCAGACACCAACAGGGAGAAGTCTTGCCATCAGAAATCTAAGGGGCCCCCGCCCTCCGCCTCCTCCTCCCTCCTCCTCCTCCTCCTCCTCCTCCTCCTCCTCCTCCTCGCTGAGAGCTCCCTGAGGTGCCCCAGGGTCTCTGTGGGCCCCCCTGGACCATCGGGGGATGCGAGGCTTCCATGGGGCACCTTCTGTCAGGCTGGTCCCTTCATCGGCGTGCCTTCCCGTAAGTCGGGCCTGTCACTCTACAGGAGGAACATTCAAGAATTGTAAAACATATGCCAGTTCTAAATGTTGTTGCCTATTTTTTATTTTTCGTTTAAATCCGCCTGTAGGAGTACGTGCCCGACCTAAGCCTACCGTGCCCCTTTCCTCGACTTCGCCAGTCTGGGCCTCCTGGGGAGCCCTCGCCGCCACGGCCGGACTCGCCTCCACGCTTTGATCAGAGCGCACCCTGGGGGACTCGGGCCACCACGAGCGTGTGCGAAGCCAATCGCGGTTCGCGCTTCGCGGCCTGGGCGATTTCAGAGGGAGGCGCGAGCCCCTCCTTCCTCAGGCGATCGCAGACATGGATCACGGGGGCGTGGATTAGCAACGGGCCCGTTTCCATGGGAAACCGCGGGTTCCCGCCGCCGAGCGAGGCGGCACCGGCCGCATGTTGGGAAGGGTACCTCCCCCGATCCATGGATTTGGCGACCCCGCGCCAGATCCATGGATCGCTAATCCATGCTTGCGCGAGTCCCTCGTTCCGGGGAGGGGAGGGGGGCGGCTTCGCGCTCCGCGGAGCGCGAAGCGCGAGGAGACAGTTACCCGAGGGGCGCGGCGCGCCACGATGCCCCCCGGCGTGGGGCAGTGCCCGGGCGGCCCTGACCGTCGAGCCCAGGCTGTGCTCGGCGCCTCCGGTGTCGATGGCGGGTGTGCGCGTGAGTCCAGGCTCCAGGCGCTGGGGGCGGGAGGAGAGGGGAGGAGGAGGGGGAGGAGGAGGAGGAGGAGGAGGAGGAGGAGGAGGAGGAGGAGGAGGAGTAGGAGGAGGAGGAGGAGGAGGAGGTGGTGCAGGGGGAGGGGCAGGGGCAAGAGGGGGTGGGCAGGAAGGTGAGGAGGGGGGAGGAGGAGAAGGAGGAGGAGGAGGAGGAGGAGCAGGAGGAGGAGGAGAAGGAAGGTGGTGGAGGATGGCATTGGATGAGGGAGGGGAGGGGGGGGAGGAGGGCGAGGCAGGTGCGCTCGCGCCGCGTCTGACGTCCGACCCCTCTCCTCCATCCGCGGAGTCGGGACTCAGGAGGATCCCTCGTCCCCGCGGTCTTTCCAGGCGCCCGATGTGAACTGCACGGCAGGGCAGGGCATGCAGGAGCCACCCCTCGGGGAGACGCCGGGCACCCGCGGAGGCGGGGGGCGGCCAGCTCCGCGGCGAGAGCGCCGGTCCGTTGGACGGAGGCTCTGCTCGGGGCTCAAGAGGTCGGAAAACTCACAATGGGGGGGGATCCCATGGGGGGGGAGGCAGTTGGGTTACGAGCTCGCTACACGCCTTCTGAGTTTCACACAGGATTACCTCTTTGAGTTTTCGAATGGGACAGCAGCGATCAGATGTCATCAAACTCCTCGTCTCCTTCCTCCGCCTCTATTTCCCTCCTCCTTCACCTTGGGGCGTGTCGCGGGGGTCAGCCAGGGCACCGGATCTTGCAGGATCCTGCGAAAACCCCTTTTGTGGCTGACCCGGGTTAGCGAGCCGCTCGTGGCCGCGAGGCGGCCGCGCATATTGGCTGACCCGGGTTGCGAAGACCTGCGATGCAGTTTTTGTTTCCTGCATTGCAGTTTTTTGGTTTCCTGCTGACCCGGGTCTGGATTGACCCGGGTCAGAAGATCCCCGATCTGTGGACGTCAATGTGGCCCTCGCTGCAAGGAGGCACCCCCTTGTGCGCTCATTCTAGGCTTACGTCGGGCCTGTCCCTCTCCAGGATCTACAGGAGGAACATTCAAAAATAGTAAAAAATCGTCAGGGGACTATGTTTTGCGCATGTTTTGATTATTTTTAGGGCGTTTGTTCTGTATTTTCCAATTTTTCGTCAAAAATCCGCCTGTAGGGGGACATGCCCGACCTAACCCTTGTGCGCTCATTCTAGGCCTCCCAGATGGGGTACCAGTAGATGGGGTCGGAGGATCGCGCCGCATCGCCGATGCATCGCCGATGCGGCTCGATGTGCAGCCCGATTGGCTTCACGTCGACATCGCCGATGCGTCGCCGGCGTCGACGATGCATCGCCGGTGCATCGCCGACGCGTCACCGATGCAGCGCGATCCTCCGACCCCATCTGCTCCGACCCCATCCAGGAGGCCTCTACTCATGCAGGGCGACTGTCAGCGCTGCGGCGAGAGCACCGCTCCATGGGATGTGTGCGACGGAGATGCCGCAGCGTGGCGTAGACCCCGCCACGCGGTCGCCACTTTCACGGATGCAAGGAGAAAGGATACGACCACCATTGCCGCTTCTGTGGCGGCACCGTCGTTCGGCGCTTCTGTGGCGACACCGTCGTTCGGGTGGACGGGGGTTCCGCAGTGATTCTGCGAATGCGACAAAACCGCACCAGCCAGGGTATCCATTTTCCAAGGCAGCAAACGTCTTGATTTCACGCAAGAGTACAACCACCGCTGTCATCGCTGCGGCGACAGCGCCGTTCCGTCGGACGGAGACCCTTTTCGGTGGTCATGGAATATGGGACGCATTAGCGAGAGTTCCACTTCAAATGCAGAACGGAGCCTGATTGACAACCATATCCAGAGACAACTCGGAACCATCCTGCGACCCAAAACACAGTTTGCGAGGTAACAGTTCTGAAACCAGTACGCAACGATGGGAGAGATGATCGTAGTGTTCACATGGTGTAGTTATAGACGACGAGCAGGGGAGGGATTATCATGAGGATACAGCGTAGGAGGAGGAGGAGGAGGAGGAGGAGGAGGAGAGGAGGAGGAGGAGGAGAGGATCAGGACAAGGAGGGATTGGAGGAGGACGAAGACGGAAGCGAGGGAGGAGGAGGAGGAGCATAAAGAGGAGGAGGGGGGAGGAGGAGGAGGAGGAGGAGGAGGAGGAGGAGGAGGAGGAGTGCGGGCGTCACGCAGGCGGTAGGTCAAGGACTTGACAACGCGCTGCCCCCCTGTGAGCTAGGGAGTCGGACTGGGCAGGCACTAAAGTTGCCTCAACCCGATCAACAGATGGGAAGGGGATGTGCCACTCCCCGTCCACAAACGTTCTCTTTTTGCAAGCTTTATGTTTGCTGTGGGCGTTGGCGCTTCTCGAGGCTCCAGAGGAGGAGGAGGGCGAGGAGGAAGGGGAGCTCGGAGAGGAGAACACAGGAGGACAGGGAGAGGGAGGAAAATGGGGGCGAAGAGGAGGAGGAGGAGGAGGAGTAGGAGCAGGCTGGAGAAAAATCAGCCATGAGGGCCGGGAGGAGCGGAAGGAAAGGAGGAGACGGAGTTAGCCCCCCCCCCCTTCCACCAGCCCCCAGTCAGCCGCGGGGCCTACAGGTCGGAGGCGCTCGCAGCAGAAGGGAGGGGCGCCAAAGATGCGCGGGAATCCACTCAGAAGGTCACAGTCAATAGTTCTCTGGCGATCCCGGAGTGCTGGCTGTCCCCGTGGCTTGCCGAAGAGCGGTCGCAACTTATCACACACGGATGGAGCCGGTTGCTCCCTCGATGCGCCGCTGAGGGCACGGGCGTGGCAAGCCAAACTACGTCCTGCCCCTGGCAGGCCCTGCCACCGTGTAAGCGCAGCGCTGCGGCGTGAAGGAGCCGAGTTTAGAGCCCGCTGCAGCACAGTGCCCTGTCTGAACGGGCGCAAGTCTTCAGCAGGCCCTTTTTGGTCCGCAGTTTTGTCGTCCTCCCCTCCTCCCTCTTTCAAGGGAGGAAAAAAAACACCCAGATCCGACAACTGGCGCTTATTCAACGGCCCTGGGCGTTTCCTAAACAGCCTTGCCCTGAGTGATGTAAACGGCTTCGCGTGTCGGGGTGGTGGTTATCGGGGTGGATGTTCTGCCCTCTACTCCTACTTGTCAGATCGACTAGTTTGGGAACGCTTATTGTGTTTTTGGGGTGGCCTCCAGGGGGGGGGCTCTTGGGGCTCACGTGGAGGCCTCTAGGGGTCTGTTGGGGGCCTGTTGGAGCTCTCCCGCGGTGCTCGGTTGGTCTATATTGGGGCGGCTGCGCGGGTCGTTGGTCCGTCTAGGAGGAGGAGGAGGAGGAGGAGGAGGAGGAGGAGGAGGAGGAGGAGGAGGAGGAGGAGGAGGGGGAGGAGGAGGGAGAGGAGGAGGAGTGTTGGACCGTCTTCTCGGGCAGTCCAATGGCCGTTTTGGGGCCCTCTTTGGGCATCGTTGGCTTGTGCTTTCTTGGGGTGCGGTTCCTGAAGCATTCCCAGAGCGGTCTACAGCCATACAGCCTCGGAAACCAGCCGTATTGATCCCTCTTCGGTTGTTCATCGCTCGTCTCGAGGGGCCGTCGTCGAGCCTTTGGGGGATCCGTGGGGCGTCTGGGACATCTCGCAGCCGTTTTTGAGCGATCTTGGGCCGTTTGGGATGCTTTGGAGGCCAAAGGAGTGCAGTGTGATACGACTAGGAGTGATTTCCGGACGGTAGCTGGTGCGAAGGGTGCCGTGTTTCGAAAAGTCAACACATACACCGAACGTCACATCTTCAGTTCTACATCGTGCAGACACGGCGGCGGACCGCAAACACCGTAGCCTCGGGCCAGCGCTTGCCGGACCTGGCCGCACGAGCAGGAGGCACCGAGGTCAACAGTGGGTTCGTGGATCGCCATGTCGACGATGTCAAAATGTTGTGCCGAGCCCCATCGCACGTGAGCCGGCAGGCTCAACCACATCGCTAGCCCAGCAGACTACAGTCACCCTCGCGCACATCGCCGCTTGTGCTGTGCACGGCCTCGGTGCTCACACGTGGCACCGTCGATTTTGTTCGTGCCAAGAGGGCGACGCAGCGGAGCTGCAGTCATGGCCAACATGGGGTCACACAGGCTTGCGGGGTCACGCAACATGTCCCCAATACGCGTGTGTGACTGTGGCCGCTGCGTCGACGTTCACTACAAAAGGGGCGCGGCCACGCCTTTCTAGAGTCACGGTTGCCTGCGTATCTCCGTCTTGCTCTTTGCCCACCATTTCGGCACGGTTGAGGCTGCAGTTTCTCTTCCTGCGCCCGCTGGAGCTTCGCATCCACGCGCCGGCACGCCGATGGAACCTTTTTGACACAATCAGGCAAATAAGAGGATAAGGACGAGGAAAGCAGACAGCTCTCTCCCAAATCCACAGTCGGGAGGGGCTGTTTCATCAAGGCTGCCCTTGCGTCCCTGCTTCTTCGGCCCATCCTGGGCCAATGCCGACGTCCAGGAAACTCCAATGGCAAAGGGGACGCCCAAGGGCCTTGCATCCTTACCTTGCATCTTCAATCTGGATCCAGACGGTAGGCAACGGTGAGCGCAAAGGTGCAGGCGGAGTGGCCGTTGCGGCCGAGCGCGGTGGCGCCCCCCGGGGGGACGGCAGAGGGGGCGGGCCTGCCCAGAAGGAGGCTCCGGAGGCCTCCGGCCTGCTGAGCAGCGCTCGAAGCTGCCTCCGAAACCGCACGGGAGGGCTCCTCAGAAGAGCAGAGGGCCTCTGAGCAGCCCCGCCGCCCCGGGAGGAGGCCTGCCCCCTCTCGCTTCCCCCCCCCCCGTCGCGCCGCCGAGCGGAAGGATCTCGGGCGGGCGAGTAGAGAGTCCGGAGCGAGGACCGCGCATGCCTTGGAGGCGAAGGCAGGGGCGAGTAGCCCTGGGGCGGACATCACACGCATTCGCTCGGGAGCCTCGCCGAAGGCATGGACCACTGGCGCTCTGTGCGGTTTGCCCCCATCGTCGCCCCCGGATGCCGCGGCGCCGCGTAGGTGGCCCTTCGCCGGAGTGGCATTTTTCCTGCAGGCCCACGGGGGCTCCTCGGCCGCGGAGCGCGGCGCGACAGCAGCGGCTTTTGTGCGCCCGGGGTTGGCCTCCCCGTGGCCCCCGAGACTCGCGCATCAGAGGTCGTTGTTGCACGCAATCGAGGTTGATCTGGGAGGACACGCGATGGGACAGAAGATCAGAGCCCCGAATCATCAGGGGTAACTCGGGTCACGGATAACTCGGGTTCCTTTTTCGGGAATCCAAACCCGAGTTATCCCGGACCCGAGTTACCCCGGATAACTCGGGCGTCCAGAGCCCCGAATCATCAGGGGTAACTCGGGCGCCCAAGACCTTTCCGTGGGCCACATGTCCATAGGAATGTAGAAGGCATGGGGCGCGAAACACAGCAAGGGTACCCCGCATGTGTTCAGGCCCCCTGGATGGAGTCCAGGTAAATGGGGTCGGGGGATCGCGCCGCATCGCCGATGCATCGCCGATGTGGCTCGATGCGGAGCCTTATTCTCTCCACGCCGATGTCGCCGATGCATCGCCGACGTCGCCAGTGCATGGCCGATGCACTGCCGATGCATCGGCGATGTATCGCCGATGTATCGGCGATGCGGCGCGATCCTCCGTCCCCATCTACTCGGGCCCCATCTAAGAGGCCTCAAATTGGGCATGGTCGACCTCCCAGTCAACTTCGACTGTAGGGCAACTCTTGCGCGTAGCTGGTCTCCGCATCGCCAGGCAGCACCTGCACGCGGCAGCGCGCCTTGTCGGCTCCCTGCCCGCAGGCTGCCTCTGCGGGCGCCCGGGCCCAGACCGCGCCGAGGCCTGGCGCTGCCAGTGCTGCCGCTTGTGACGGTGTTGCCGCCATCGTCGGCTGCCGAAAGATTCGAAGTAGCAGTGACGCGATAAGCATGAACTTTTGGCGCTCCGCGCGGATTTCTTGGATCCGCGGCCCCGCTGGCGGCGCCTGGGCGCCGCCCCTGGCGCGCGGAGGGGGGTCCAGCGCAGATTCAAGAAATCCGCACGGACCACCACAGGTTTATGTTTATGCCGTTTCTTTTTCTTTATCTTCCACAGATGGGGTCTTGAGGGATGGCTATGAGGGGAGTCCTGGATGCCTCGCGGCGAGCAACCGTGGCAGCATCTAGTCCACACGTCCGCTCTGATATGGGGCGGCGTTCGGGCGTCGATGTTCCGGCGGAATGTCCACGTGAATCCAACGCACATCCGACGCGAATCCGTCGTGAGCCCGGCGTGGGTCCGACGGAAATTTGGTCTCAAGTTGCCGCGCGAGGCCTCCAGAAGTTTCCTCACAAGGAAGGGGGTCGAGAGACGTAGACCTCAAACGGTGAGTGCTCCACTGGGCAGCCCCACCCATCCACGAGGGCCCCGCCTTGGCACCGCCGACCTCTGCCTCTGGAGTCCACGACTGGGGCCGGACGCTGGGGCGGCGGGGGTTCCCGATGCAGCAGCCTCGCACGTCTTGAGTCCACTGCACCACGTTCGCTGCCCGTTGCTGGGGCCCTCGGGTCGAGGCTCGGCGCCTTTCGGAAGCCCCGGCCGTGCTGCCGTCCTGTCGCCGTTGCGTCGCCAGTGCAGCATCGGCACTGTCGAACTATGCCCTGCCGTGCGATGCCATGTCCTGCCGCGACGGCGTCATCGGCCGTCCAGTGTCGTCGTCGTCGATGGGTCCATGATCACTGGATTGAAGTCGGGCCTGTCCCTCTACAGGGGGCATCTTCAAGAATAGTCAGAAAATAGTCTGGGGACTATTTTGGGGGTATTTTTGGGCATTTGTTGAGCATTTTTTGGGTATGTTTAATTTTTCGCCCAAAATCCCCGACTTACTGCTGGATCTCCCCTCCATGGGGGTCCATCAGCAGAGGCTCCCTTCGTCTCTTGGGGCCTCGAGGCCCCGGCGGAGGCCCGCCAGGGCACTGCAGGCTCCCCGAGGGCCTCTGGGCAGAAGCCAGGGCCTGGAGCAGCAGCCTGCTCTCTCGTTTGCCAGGTACAGTCAACGCGCATAGTAAGGACAAACGACTTTTTCAAGGGTACCCTTGGGTCCTTGCCTGCCTCAGCCTCTGCGGCCCGTCCCTAGCAATTTTCGCAGGCCAGAATACTTCAACTTCGGCCTCCAAGGGTCTTGCGTCCTTACCACGCGTCCTTACTATACGTTTTCACGGCAGCTCTGTGTTGAGCGCAGCTGCACAGGTCTCGACGAGGTCTCGTGGGGGGCCCACTTGGAGCGCGCAGAGGCGTCAGAGGGCGGACAGGGCAGGCCGGCGGAGGAGCCCCCGCTGCCACCGCCCAGCACTTGGTCGCAGCAGGCGCCTCTCGAGTTGCGACGGGACGCTTAAAAGTGGCGATGCACGGGCTGCTCCGCTGTTGCAGCGAGCGGCTTGAATAAGGAACACTCACTTTTCAAGAGGGGCTCGGTCGTTCCTTGGGTTTGCATGCGTTCCGCTACCCTTTTGGCGGCGAGCCCCCCCCTGGTGTTCCTTCAGATGTTGGACACGCGGGTTCATTTTGCCGATGAGGGGCTCGGCCGTTCCTTCGGACTTCGTAGACCTACTTGGAAAAAATGGGCTTCGTTCCTTATGTATCGTTCCTTAGGTCAGGCCGATGACTGTAGTCCATGCTGGGAGGATCGCGTCTGTGAGCATGGAGATGCCCAGAAGTGTACGATGTGACGCATGTCGTCTCTATTCGTTGTGGGGCTCTCGTAAAGCCTTTCTGGGAAAGAATGCGTTCTGTGATCAGTTGAGGGAGGAGAAGTTTCAAACTTGCTCCCCAAAAACATCCCTGACGTCAGGAAACTGGAAGAACCCCTCCCTCATGCAAGGGATGTTTCAACCTCCCTTCTCGCACAAGGGGGAGGGGGGGTTCAACCCCCCACCGGTGCGCCGGTCGTCATTCGTCGTCGTCCGCCTTCGTCGCCGCTTTCGTCGTCGTCGCCGTCGCCGTCGCCGTCGCCGTCGCCGACGTCGTCGTCGTCGGCGTCGTCGGCGTCGTCGGCGGCGTCGTCGTCGTCGTCGGCGTCGTCGGCGTCGTCGTCGTCGTCACGACAGGCGCCAGGCGATCGTGGATGAACCCCCCCGAGTGGGGGGGAGATGGTTTTGACCCCATCCCCTGCGCGGGGGGGGGGGAAAGGGGGGGGTTCAGTGTGACGGGGGGGGTCCGATTAATTGGGTGCTCGGAATGCTGGAGCGGGCCGGTTTTCAGCGTGTCGAGGAGTGTTTCGCGCCCGCGAAGCGCGCTCGCTCCTGCCTGGGCCGTGCATTCATCTGCGTGTCCCTGGGCCCCGTCCTCTTGGGGCCGTCGAAGTGCAGTCTGGGCCGTTCTTGGCCGTCTTGGAGGTCCGTGGGTCTTGATCGGGTGGCCTCTTCGGCAATCTTGGGGCCCTTGGGATTCGGGAGGGAAAAAGCGCAGGCACAACTACACGCCGGTCGTTGAAAGGAGGTATTTCTGGCTCCCAGATCCCAATCTACTTCAGGCGCCTTCCTACTTCAAGAAACGGCACGCGTTTGCTGTGTGTTTCGTTGTTCTCTGGGAGGATCTGGACCCAAGCTACTATATCCGCCTTCCTACTTCATGTTTCTACCTACCTCTTCCGACCGACGTGTAATTGTCGATTCTTTAGAACATATGGGAAAAGATCGGAAGTGGGAGAGACGACGAAAGCCCAGAACATATGAGAAGATATGGGGTATCCTGGGACTCGGGTGTATGTGTGTGTGTGTGTGTGTCCCTGGGCCCCTTCAGGGATGTCCTGGGCCCCTCTTGGGGCAATCTTGGGGGCCTCCGTGGGGCTGTCTTGGGCTACGTGGGGGGGGGGGCGTTTCTGGCCCTCGGCATCCGTTTTGGCTTCTCAAGGACCCTCTCTGGATTCCTCTCTTCAGCCGGGAGCGACGGGCAGCGCAGACTTCCCTGCGCGGTGCTCGCACTTACAGTGGGGGCGCGCATCAAGAAGCCAGATGCTTTTCGTCAGGGTATCCTAGGCTTCTTCGCTCCTCGCGCTGCGCGGTGGCTTCCCGCGGCCGCGGAAGGAGCTGCTGCGTTCAGGGTGCTCCAGGTTTCCCCTCAGGTGCACCTGGCGCACGGGTTCTCAGGGCTGGGTTTCTTGCGAGGGTTTCTTGCGGCCGCGCCCGCACTGTACGGGCTCGTACTTATTTCTCTCAAGTGATTGTCAGGAGGGGAAGGAAACACACAGACACAACGAATCGTCGATTCCACAGAAGATCTGGCAAATATGGGGAGTGGGGGGGAAGACAGAAACCCAGAAAATATAGGAACATGTGGGGAATCCTGTGATCTGTGTCTCTTGATTCGTGTGCCCCAGGGCCCCCTCCGAGTGGGCGAGTGCGCCTCGGGCTCTCGACTGGTGCCCGGCCGGTGGACGCCTCGCGGGTGCCTCCGCGTGCGCCCCGCGCCGGGCGGGCGGGCCGCGGCGGCCCGCCCGGCCTGCCCGCCCGTGGGGGCCCTTCGCCGCGCCGTCGTCGGCCCGTCGCGGGGTCGGCCGCCGTCGCGGGGTCTGCCGCCGTCGTCTCCTCGGGCCCCTCTCCTGGAGCGCGTTTCTGGACTGCTTGGGGCATAATGGCATAATGGGCATCATAGCTCCCGGCCCCCCCCCCTCCCCCCCCCCCTTGTAGCGTCACGTCCCCCCCCCACCACCATCAGTGCCCCTTGACTGCTTGGGGCATAATTCGGGGAACAAGAAGTGGCATAAACAGAAAAACTCTGAGTTCCGCGCGGATTTCTCGGATCGGCCCTAGACCCCCCTCCCTGGCGCGCGGAGCGCGCCAGGGAGGGCGCCGGAGGCGCCGCCAGGTGGCTTCGGCGCGGATCCGAGAAATCCGCGCGGACCTTCGAGTTTTTATTTTTATGCCACTTGTTGTTCCCCTAATAATGGGCATTCTAGCTCCTGCCCCCCCCTCCCCCCCCTTATAGCGTCACTCCCCTCCCCCCCCCCCCCCAGTGCGCTCCAGGCACTGCCGCCGTGCGCACGGCGGGGGGGAGGCGTTACATTCTACACACACCCCTGGCCCATCCCCCCCTATCATGCCCATAATCGCCGAAAGAAAAGAAACGCGTTCTCGCGTTTGTGTTTGTTGCGTTCCCCCCCTTACCATTCTCTTCTTCCAGGTCGTCCCCACCGCGGGGGTCTGTCTGAGTCCGAGCGTTGGCGTATCCCGTTGGAAGGTTTGCATTGTTCGTCTTCTTTTTCTGTGTCGCCCGTCTGTCGGAGTGGTGCGACCTTTGCGGTGTCGCGTAAAGGCTCTCTTGTGGTATGTGGTCACCCATCTTTTGTTTCTGCTTTCACCTGCCTTCGCAGTAGCTCTTCGCGGCTCTGGTTGCGTTTGGGCTTGCTGTTTTGATGCCGGTAGCGTCTGCACTGCACGTCGGCCATGCTCGCGCCCGTCCACCACCCATGCGCGCCGCCGTCTCGCGGTTGCTGCTCGCGGTCGCCCGCGTTCAGCTCTGTCTTTGCCCAACGCTATGTCAGCCGTGGCCGCGCGACCCGTTGTCTCACGCAGACATCTGGAATTGTGGCCTCAAGTGGTCCTTGCCCGCTGCAAGGTCGGTGGCGTTGCTTTGTCGCGCAGCTTCTCGGCGCGTATACACCGCCACCGCGTCGGCTGGTCTGGCAGCTTTGCAATCCTTTTTTGAGCTCCAGGCCTTAATTCGCACCAAGCTGCTACTTGCACTTCAAACTTCCCGCGGCGAGCTTCTGTTCGGCGGGTCCTTTGGCCTCTGACTTGTTGTTTTGCAGCGCCTCCCGTTTTTTTTCCACCACCAATTTGCAGGGCCATGGCTGGATTATTTCATCATGGCGCGCTCGACTAAGATCGTTCGCAACGGCACCTCCGCCTGCTGCTCCTCTGCGCCGCCGATTGAAAAAGTGTGCCGAGGTCTCGCCCGGTTCCCGCCCGTGGCCACCCCGTGGCCGCCTCCTGCGCCGGGCGGCCGCACAGTTTGCACCACATGATCGTGCACTCGGCACACTCTGCTCACAGCAGAACTGCCGCCGCATAGCTTACACCACGCAGCTCACACCACGCAGCATGCACCTGATTGGCTTGCACCAGGTAGCGTCCACCGCGGAAATCGAACGGCACCATAGCCTGCACCACATAGCTCACCCGTCCACAACGCAACAACTTGTTGTTTCGGGTCCACGCTGGCAGAAACATGCAGACCAGTGTAGCTACTGGTCATGGCCTCCCTGGACGGCCTTGCGGCCTTGTCTTTGTTGCCTCAAAAGCCCCCGTGGCGCCTCTTGGGGTCTTCTTGGGAGCTGCTGGATGACTCTTGATGCAATCTCCGGCAATATTGATATTGGCGGCCATGATGGTATTCCTGTGCCGTTTTGGAAGCCTTGGAAAATCTGAGGAGTCTTTCGGGAGAGGAAGGAGACGCACTCAGCGAAGTTACATGAACCTTGCCCGACTGCTCTTGGCATTGAACCACGCCTCAGCGTGCCAGGGGGAGTCAAGGCGGATAGGGGTGTTCGGCTCTTCTGCCTCAGCCGTAACTTGCGCATGCCCTCGCATTGCTTCCCCGTTTCCGCCCCTGGCTTTCTTCCCATTGCCTTCCTCCACCATCCCCCACGCTTGCTTCCCGTTCGTGCTAACAGAACTTGATAAGATCCTTGCGCCTCTCCCTGCCCAGGCAGCAGTTGCGCAGGCTCCTCTAGATGGTTTGATCCTCAAACTTCGTCTGACACGACTGCGGCTTTCATTCTAACTGTGTGTGTACACGTATCAGATGCAGACGGGCAAATCGCACAGCAAACACATTCCCCCATTCCGAAACGTCGCCAGCTCTTTTCCCCCTTCTTCTCTTCCTCCTCCTGCTTTCCCCTCCTCTGCCCGAGTCCGGGCTATTGCAGGTTTTTTGCCTCCGTGGCCCAGCCCCCTGCACGACACTCGGCGGCGCCCGTGGACCCAACATTGGCCACGCTGCCGGGACGTGTCCCGCGTGCGTTCTTGGCGCTATCGTCCCCTCCAGCCTTCCAGCGCCCCTCCTTCCTCTCCCAAGATGCGCCTGAGCGCAGAACAACAACACGCAGAAAACGAAGCTTCGCCAGCGCCCAGCGCGCACGGATGCCGCCCGGGCCCGCACGGCGACGGAGGAGGCGGCCGCCGAGGAGGAGGCGGCATGCCAGGCGCCCCCGCCGCGGGCGTGCGCGAGCACGCGTGGGTTAGCGCGGCCGCAGACATACACCCACCAGCCAACTCCAAACATTCATCGCAATCGCCGCCGCATGGGTTTTGCGAAGTAAGTTGTGGGTGGGCGGGTGGGATGATTGCGCGAGCATGGGCGCAGGCAACTACATGCGATCAGGAACTAATCACACCGCGTAGGTTACACCACGTAGCTTCCACGACATACATTGCACCACGTAGGTTGCACCACAGATGCTGCACAATATTGATCGCACGACATATATTCCACAGCACAGGTGGCACAAGCAGATCGCACTACACAGGGTGCACCACATAAATTGCACCGCGTATAGTGCACCACATCAATTCCATGGCGTATCTTTCACAACGCTGGCTAGCATTCCTCCCCCGGCGTTGTCGCGTGCCGAACAGACTGCAACAGCATGTTTCCCGGCACCTTGGCCGTGCCACGCCATGCGTCGCGTGGGGCCGTATTCGTTCCGCGTCCCAGGCGTTGCCACGTGGCCGGCGGACGAGCGGGCGGGCGAACGGGCGCCGTTGCCGCCGCCGCCCGCCGCCAGCGCCGGCGTCGCATCCGTCGACGTCGTCGTAGTCGTCGCCATCGTCGTCGACGTCGAAGTCGCGCCGCCTCTTGCTCTTTATTTTCCTTCTCGCTGCCGTCTTCTCGCTTCTCCCGTTCTTCCTCTTCCGCACTCCTTCCTTGCTTTCCGCTTCTCGCCCCCTCTCCTCCACAGGGCCTCGGGTTTCCAGGCTCGCTCTTGGGGATTCTGCGAGTTGGCATTTATTTGTTTCTGGGCTGGCGCACATAATGTTGTTTCCGCCCCCCGTGCGTGCCCACGTGAGGAAAAGAGTGCACTTTGATTTCTTCTCCCCCCCTGCCATTGCCATGCGACGAGTAGAGCTGACTAGACCTACACGTGCAACTTCGGTTGCTGGGCCCAGACCCGTGCGCGATCCGCTTCCGGATCCAGACTCGTGCGAGCTCCGCTGCCCTAGCGGGATTCGCACCAGCGAATGTTGCACGGAGCGGACTCGCACGAAGCGGCATCCGCGCGAACGGAAACCCGCACGGAACGATATCGCGCGCACGGAGCGGAGTTCGCACACACTGGAACCCGCACGGGCGGCACTCGCTCCGCCGCGCGACGGAGCGTCGAGCGGCGCATGCTGTGCGAGTCCGTTCGTGCGTGCTCCGTCGTGCGCATTCTGTGCGTGCGAGTTCGGTGCGTGAGATCCGTGTGTGCGAGCTCCGCTGTGCGAGTTCGCTCGCGTGAGATTCGTCCGTGCGAGCTCCGCTTCGTGCGAGCTCCGCTCCCGTGCGGGTTCCGTTCCGTGCGAGGTCTGTCCGTGCGAGTTCCGCCCCGTCCGATTTCAGCCCGTTTCCCCAGATGGGGTCCGAGCAAATGGGGTCGGAGGATCGCGCCGCATCGCCGATTCATCGGAGATGCAGCTCGATGTGGAGTAAGATGTCCTCCACGCCGACGGCGCCGATGCATCGCCGACGTCGCCGATGCATCGCCGATGCATCGGTGATGCGGCGTGATCCTCCGACCCCATTCCTTCGGACCCCAGCTAGGAGGCCTCTATAGTAGCATCCGTGTGCCCATAGTTTCTGCGCGGCCCGCCTGTTATCCGCACGCGCTGTGGGCCCGCCCTCGCTGCTGGCAGGGCAAGTACACGGGGGGGAATCGACGATTGCAGGGAATGCCCGAAGCGGCCCCCAAACTGCCTCCGCGGGCTCCACAGGTCCACGACTGCGCGTCTTCACCCCACGCGTCTTGCCCCCTCGCCCAGGGCCAAGGTCTCTGGCCTGGACAGCCTGGTGGCATCGGCCAGCGCCACCTGCTAGCGTCGCTATCTTTGTCCTACCCCCCATAGGGACGCGGGGAGGGGTTGTCGCGGCTCACCTCAAAGCATCCGCTAACATGATACCATGTGGACTCCAAACAGCGTCTGGCGTGCTAGTGGCGGCGACCAGGGCTGGCGGTAGCTATGGCTATTGTGGGGGGCTAGGAGCGGCGACCATCGCTGGCAGTAGCTAAGCCATCAGGGTCAGGCAGGGGCTCGCACGGGCGAGTGGCGGCATCCAACTTTGGCGCCGACAAGGGATAGGTTCCGAAGGGGATGCGCAGTGGCGACTAGGGCTGGTGGGTTTACTTGAGAGTCTGGCAAGAGCGAGTAAGGGACCTTGGAGCCGAGAAGGGGGCCAGCGTTCGCAACAATCAGGGCTGAAGGGGATGCGTTAGCGTCAACAGGGCCTCTGCAGGGGCAACCAGCGCTGGCGGCAACCAAGGCCGGTAGGGCCAGGCAGTGGATAGCTGGGAGTCACTGGAAATGCGAGTATGGGGCTTGGCAGGCGTAACCAGCTCCAGCAGCGACGGGGACTTGTGGGGCTAGGTAGGGGCTAGTGCGGGCTAGCGGCTGTACCCATGTTGGCCGCAGCCAGGGCTTGTGGGGCGGCTGGTAGGTTGCAGTGGCAGCGACCAGCTCTGATGGCAATCAGGGCCACTTGGATTTGGCGTGGTCGAGCGGGGCCCAGAGGCGGCGACCGCTGTTGGTGGCAACCCGGGCCATTGAGGCCAGGCAGGGGCTATTAGGTGCGAGTGGCGACAGCCAACGTTGGTGGTGAGCAGGGCTACTGAAACTAGGCGTGAAGGTTGGGGCCAATGGCGGCATAGGAAGGTGCTGGGAGGTGAAAGGCGCATTCAGCAGAAGCAGTGGTCGGGAACAGCCCGCCACGCGTTTCATTTCCTTCTTCTCGTCCACTGGTGGGCGGGGGAGACTCAGAGATGACCTCAGGCGAGGAGGCCGAAGGGTTCTACACCGCCCCTGGGTGCGTGGCTGAAGTGGGGTTCCGCGGTGCGGGTTCTCGTTGTTGTTGTTCGTCGTCTTCGCTCGCGACCCGCTCGCGACCCACCTGCGACGCGCCCACGACCAGCCCGTGACCCACCCGCGATCCGCTCGCGACCCGTACGCGTCCCATCCAGATTGCTTTGGCAAAAAAACGGAGCTTGCGGCTGGCTCGTTGGGCAATGTGTTAAACGTCGACGCCTGCGGCGAGCTTGCTCGAATTCGTCTCCGAGCCTCGCAGACCGCCGACGACCCCCCGCCTCCCGACTCCTTTCCGCAGCTGCGTGTGGGCTATGTATGATCCAGGGTCGAGGGCCCACGGCCCCCCCCCCCCCCCCAGATGGTATGGTCCCAGGATTCCTCGGGCCCCCCCCCCCCCAGATGGTATGGTCCCAGAGACGACGACGACGACGACGACGACGACGACGACGACGACGACGACGACGACGACGACGACGACGACGACGACGACGACGACGCTGCGACGACGGCGACGACGGCGACGACGGCGACGACGACGACGACGACGACCACGACGACGACAACGACGGCTGCGGCGGCGACGACGGCGGGACGACGACGACGACACGACGACGACGACGATGACGACGATGACGACGACGACGACGACGACGACGACGATGACGACGACGACGACGACGACGAGGACGACGACGACGACGACGACGACGACGACGACCTCTGAATCATCACAGCACCACACCACATCCACACCACAGGGGGGGGGCAGGGGGGCACCGCAGTGCAACACCACGCCACGCCCACCTCTGAACCACCACAGCACCACACCACATCCACAGGGGGGGGGGGGGGAACCGCAGCGCAGCACCACGCCACGCCCACAGGGGGGGGCGGGGGGGACCATCGCGCAGGGGGGGGGCCCAATGGCATCAGCATTGGGGGGGGGGCCCAAACCCTGGACCATGTATGCTGCGCGGCACGGACAGGGAGGGAGAGCAGCTGGGGATGCATCACTTGCCGATGGTCGCAGCCATATTGTGCGCACGCGGGACTCAGCTGTGCACGCATGGCCGCGGCGCCACCCCACCCGCCAGCTGCAGCGCCGGTGCAGACGGCTAGCGCGAGCCTCGGCTCCCCTCGCCCACGATCGGGATCTTGTCGGCCGACTGTTGACATCCGATTCGATCAATCCGTCTTACCAGTGTGTGTGTGTGTAGTTGTGTGTGCCGCGAGTCTTCCTTGTACCTGCGCGCGTGGGTGCACTGTGGTCCTTACCGAGGCATCCGTAGTGCTGCGGGTCATGTCCACTAGCCACCTGCAGGAGCGACTCCCAGGCGTGGCGATGCGAGCAGGAAGACGGGGGAGCATCGGCCAGCCTGAACAGCGGCAGGAGCCACACCGAACGAGGGATCAGCCCCAGCAGCCTTCAAGCATGGCACGGGCAGCTTGGAGCCCTCTGGGAGCCTCTTGGAGGCTGGCTCCCGTGAGGAGCCTTTGGGGCCTTCTTTCGGGTATGGCGAGGACACCGGGTAAGGGGACCCGGTTAGTAGTAGGGCCCTGGGGCCCTTGAATTGGCCAGAACCACTAAACCAGGTTTGCCATAGCTGGTATTTTTTGGGGTGACGGCAGTTCCGGTTAGTGGAAATGGGACGGGGGGGCGCACCCGGTACAGATCACTAAACCAGGTTCCACGAAACCCGATTCTACCAACGCCCGATTCTTGTGGCGCGATGAACTACTCTTCTGGATGAACGACCTGCCATTCTAAACCAGAGGACTGCCAGTTGAGACGACGGTAGTCGGCCCTGCGGGGCTCCCTCGTCGCCACGGCTGGACGCAGCTCCGAAAATTGGTGCGTTTGGACCCCAGCACCCGAGGAGGGGTCCGGGAACCGATTTTGAGCTTCCGTTGTTTCTGTTCTTTGCACGCACGAAATGGGTACAGAAAGAATGGGTACAATGCCCAACAGCAGTTCCTGTTCATTTTGAACAGGACTCGCTGCCCGCGCAGCCGCGGCCTGTGTTCATTTGAGACAGAAGACCGCCTGCCCAACGGCGGCCGCTGTCGGTTTGGACAACATTTGTTGTTGGGCATTGTACCCATTTTTTCCGTACCCATTTCGGGCGTCCAAATTTTCGCTTTGTTTCGGCTAATTCACCCGAGGATTTGTATGATGTGACCCTGCGGCGATCCTGGCATGGAGGGGGACTTGCATGTGGACGTGGTGGCCTGAACGCGGTCTAGGCCTGTCCCTCACTCCTCTTGAGGTGACATGAAAGTTGTCCAGCCAGACCACCCTCGTGATCCCCACCGGTTCTTAGGTCCGAGCAGGGATGAACAGGCTACGCGGTGAAGTATTCATCCCTCTCGTCGTCCTCTTCGTGTCCCTGCCCCCGCAGTTAGGGGTGCCAGAGGAGGGACAGCGGGGATGATCGCATCACCATAGATCGTTATCTGTCCTCATATGTTAGGAAAGTGCGGCACCGATCTGAGGCGTGGGCGCGCTCACGGCGCACTATGAGCAAGAGAACCAGGCGCTGAGGGAGCAGGCCATCGATCGACTCAGTCTTGTGCATTTGCTATCAGAAAGGGCTTCGTTCACGCTGTTGAATGCCGGCCAAGGCATCGAGCTTGTGGTCCAAGACACCCAGACAATGCCTGGATGTCTTCCGACATTGGACGCGCAAGCTATGTAGTGTGACCTATGTGGTGTGATCTGTGTGGTGTAAGCTGTGAGGCGTAGGCGATGTGGTGTAGTCTACGTGGCTCCATGTACGCGATTTTTTAGCACTGCGGTTTAAGCTATGCGGTGCAGTCTATGTGCTATGAGCTTTATAGAGTCACATATGTGGTCAAATCTCTGTGGTGTGAGCTATATGGTGCAATATATGCCGTGCAATATCTGGTGTGAGATATGTGGTGCAAGCTGTGTGGCACAAGATCCTGCGGTGTGAGCTATGACATGTGGGCTATACGATGTAAGGTCTGTGGCGCACTCTGTGTGGTGCGAGTTGCAGTTGCGAGGTGTAAGCTGTATGGTGTAACCTATCTGATGTGAGCCATATAGTATACGCACGGTGCAGCCCGGCAAAGCCTCGGCGGATGATGTCCAGCGCCTGGGGCGCCCACAAGGCGGCCACGGGCGGCAACGTGGCAAAACCTTGGCGGACCCACCCGGCGCACGAGGCGCTCACGAGGCGCCCACGGGCGGCAGCGTGACGTAACCTCAGAGGTTCCACCCGTGGCACAGCATAGTAAGACAAAGGAGAACCTCCACGTGCAAGCATCGCTCGGGGGACATGGACTGTGTGCTGCCTAGCGCGGCGCACCTTCTGTGCTTGAGGGCCCGCACGCCCGTTTTCGTTTCGAGGTTCCCCAGCTTCGGAGCCTGCACGCTGAGTGATCTTGTGAATATGTTGGTGCTCATCACTGCCAGTACAGGAGCGCTTGGTGAAATTCGCCTTTCGAACGATCTGCTTGTCATAGGCAAGATTTACGCCGTGGATTTGGCTCGAAGTCCAGAAAGCCACACATCGAGCTCCGAGGCAAGAACCCCACGGGCACCTTTTGGACAAGTCTGGTTCGGCCTTGTGCTGGAGTTTTCGCTTGAGTTGTCGCCGTTCATGTCGTCTGACGAACGAGCAACACACACCCATACCCATAGGGGGGTCGTTGGGAGGAGGACTGGCTATGGGTATGGGTGCGGGTTGTCGGACCCTGGGGAACGATCCCGTTCGAGCGGGGACCCCCATCCGACAACACGCATCCATAGCCCTCTCCGACCCGTCTATATGTATGGGTGTGTGTTGTTGGTTCGTCGTCGTCTCTCAATATGTTTATCACCGTCGCAGGTGGAGCACTCGGCTGCCGGTCTCGGTGAGCTGCCCTGGGCCTGTGGCCAGAACCCGCCACTCTGGTGCGGGGATGGGCACATTGACTCCTCCCCAGTGGGGTTTTGGCTGCTGGGCCCCCCCCTCTTCTCGCCTCCGCCTCGCAGGGCTCCCAGTGGCCAGCCCTTCGAGGGGGAGCAGGGTCCACGCCTCTCGCGACGCAGGGCCTGACGGCCCTCGATCCCCAGGAGCAGATCTCCCGACCCCTCTCTCTGAGTGCACACGGGCCGACCTGCATGCTTCGTGCCGGGGGAGGGAGGGAAGAGAAGAGGCCTGGCCTGCCGGCCAGGCCTGGCACCTGCGGCAGTGGCTCGAGCACAAGGAGCAGCAGGCGGGCATCTCGCGCCCCGCGGGGCATACAACCGGGCCTCCGAGGACCCCGGCCTCGCCCCCCTGCCTTCACCTCCTCCGCTCACTCCAATCCCTCTGGTGGCTCCCCCGCCCCGCACCGAGGAGGAGGAGGAGGAGGAGGAGGAGGAGGAGGAGGAGGAGGAGGAGGAGGAGGAGGAGGAGGAGGAGAGCGAGAGAGGGCCGTGCGGGATGCGTGGCGCGTTTCGCCTGGTGGGCGGCTGGCGAGGCGCTCGGGAGGGGGGGCGGTATCCTACGAGTCCTTCGGCCCTTGCCTGGCTCGCCGCTGGCATCGGCTCCCTGGGGCCGGCTCCGGCACCAACGGCGCAGTGCGCGATGTTCAGCATTAGGGCTGCGGCTCGATCGCCACGCGGCAGTAGCGCTAATGACGGCGCAATTCGAGGGAGGCCTGATCGTTTGCAGACTCTGGTCCGTCGATCGGGGCTCCGTCATGTTGGTGAATTGTCGATCGATCGGGACTGGGGGACTGGAGAGATTGATTAGGACCTCGATCTACTGAGTTCCCTCAGTCAGGGGGTGGATCGAAGGTGATGTTTCATGGACCAGCTTGATGTCGTGACTTCCTCATCTAGCGGAAGTGGCACCGTCAGGCTCGCGGCCTGAACCTCCGTCGTGGTAGATCCTGGATGTTTCAAGTCAGTTGTCGGGGCGTCGACTTTGGAGGCATTCGATTTCAGACGGGCCTGTTGCGGTGTGCGAGCGGCACGGACCAATGGTCCGCGCTGCTTCACAGCTCACTTATGCCTACTCAGCGAGGTGCAGGACGCTTCATTTCGAGGATGCCACAGGCCCATTCCCTCCGCTCTTGATACCCTCAGGCGGGCTTGTCGCGGCTAACGAGGGCAGAATTACAAGTCTCGGCTTTGTTAAACCTCTGGGAGCCCTGGCTGATTATGGCGAACACAATCCACTATGGCGAGCACACGTGTGCAGAGTTCACTCTGCCGCGAGGCTAGCTTCACGCTTTAACAGTGTGCCGAGCTCACACGAGGCTCCTCGTATCCGCGATGGCGCATTTGGGCTCGGGGCGCCCAGTGGTGTGGCGTGGCAGAAGTGCGCACTTCTCGCGGGTCCGAGGGGGGTCGTGCCTCGACGTGTCTTGGTCGCGTCGAAGCGGGGTGGAGGGAGGTTCTAATTCTTCGCGCTTCGCGTAGCCCCACCGGCACAGAGTCTTGGTGGAGGCCGAATATGCCCCCGACAGCGCGCCCATTCCTAGCAGCAGTGCCACGGTGACAGGTGGTGGCTCCGCGGAGGGCGCGCCTGCGGTCGGAGGCCGGCCTCCTCCCGACATCAGGTCCACGACGCCTCCCCGAGCGGATGGTGGAGGATATCTCGAGCCTCCTCGCAGCATAGAGAGCCAGGAGTTCACACTGGAACGTGCGGCCTTCAGCTGCAGTAGTCCCCTGGGAGGGCTACAGACCGAACAGATGGTCGTCGGCCACAGCGCGCCGGTGCCGTCCCGTCCAGGAGACAACCAAGCAGGCGTTCCTACAACCCCTCACTCCTATCAGCGTCCCGGGGGCGGTCTCGTTGTTGAGGCGGAAGATGCGGCCGAATTCCCGTCCCCCCCTGGCAACATTATCGTGGCGACAGGTGGGGATGCCGCAGAGGGCGCGCCTGCGCTCGGAGACCGGCCTCCTCCCGAAGGGAGGTCCACGACGCCTCCCCGAGCGGATGATGGAGGATATCTCGAGCCTCCTCGCAGCATAGAGAGTCAGGAGTTCACACTGGAACGTGCGGCCTTCAGCTGCAGTAGTCCCCTGGGAGGGCTACGGACCGAACAGATGGTCGTCAGCCACAGCGCGCCGGTGCCGTCCCGTCCAGGAGACAACCAAGCAGGCGTTCCTACAACCCCTCACTCCTATCAGCGTCCCGGGGGCGGTCTCGTTGTTGAGGCGGAAGATGCGGCCGAAATTCGTCCCCCCCGGCAACAGTATCGTGGCGACAGGTGGGATGCCGCAGAGGGCGCGCCTGCGCTCGGAGGCCGGCCTCCTCCCGACATCAGGTCCACGACGCCTCCCCGAGCGGATGGTGGAGGATATCTCGAGCCTCCTCGCAGCATAGAGAGAGCCAGGAGTTCACACTGGAACGTGCGCCTTCAGCTGCAGTAGTCCCCTGGAGGGCTACGGACCGAACAGATGGTCGTCGGCCACAGCGCGCCGGTGCCGTCCCGTCCAGGAGACAACCAAGCAGGCGTTCCTACAACCCCTCACTCCTATCAGCGTCCCGGGGGCGGTCTCGTTGTTGAGGCGGAAGATGCGGCCGAAATTCGTCCCCCCCTGGCAACAGTATCGTGGCGACAGGTGGGGATGCCGCAGAGGGCGCGCCTGCGCTCGGAGACCGGCCTCCTCCCGAAAGGAGGTCCACGACGCCTCCCCGAGCGGATGGTGGAGGATATCTCGAGCCTCCTCGCAGCATAGAGAGTCAGGAGTTCACACTGGAACGTGCGGCCTTCAGCTGCAGTAGTCCCCTGGGAGGCTACGACCGAACAGATGGTCGTCGGCCACAGCGCGCCGGTGCCTTCCCGTCCAGGAGACAACCAAGCAGGCGTTCCTACAACCCCTCACTCCTATCAGCGTCCCGGGGGCGGTCTCGTTGTTGAGGCGGAAGATGCGGCCGAAATTGCGTCCCCCCCTGGCAACAGTATCGTGGCGACAGTCGGGGATGCCGCAGAGGGCGCGCCTGCGCTCGGAGACCGGCCTCCTCCCGAAGGGAGGTCCACGACGCCTCCCCGAGCGGATGGTGGAGGATATCTCGAGCCTCCTCGCAGCATAGAGAGCCAGGAGTTCACACTGGAACGTGCGGCCTTCAGCTGCAGTAGTCCCCTGGGGGGCTACAGACCGAACAGATGGTCGTCGCCACAGCGCGCCGGTGCCTCCCGTCCAGGAGACAACCAAGCAGGCGTTCCTACAACCCCTCACTCCTATCAGCGTCCCGGGGGCGGTCTCGTTGTTGAGGCGGAAGATGCGGCCGAAATTCCGTCCCCCCCTGGCAACAGTATCGTGGCGACAGGTGGGGATGCCGCAGAGGGCGCGCCTGCGCTCGGAGACCGGCCTCCTCCCGAAGGAGGTCCACGACGCCTCCCCGAGCGGATGATGGAGGATATCTCGAGCCTCCTCGCAGCATAGAGGTCAGGAGTTCACACTGGAACGTGCGGCCTTCAGCTGCAGTAGTCCCCTGGGAGAGCTACGGACCGAACAGGTGGTCGTCAGCCACAGCGCGCCGGTGCCTTCCCCTCCAGGAAAACCAAGCAGGCGTTCCTACAACCCCTCACTCCTATCAGCGTCCCGGGGGCGGTCTCGTTGTTGAGGCGGAAGATGCGGCCGAAATTCCGCCCCCCCCTGGCAACAGTATCGTGGCGACAGGTGGGATGCCGCAGAGGGCGCGCCTGCGCTCGGAGACCGGCCTCCTCCCGAAGGGAGGTCCACGACGCCTCCCCGAGCGGATGATGGAGGATATCTCGAGCCTCCTCGCAGCATAGAGAGTCAGGAGTTCACACTGGAACGTGCGGCCTTCAGCTGCAGTAGTCCCCTGGGAGGGCTACAGACCGAACAGGTGGTCGTCGGCCACAGCGCGCCGGTGCCTTCCCGTCCAGGAGACAACCAAGCAGGCGTTCCTACAACCCCTCACTCCTATCAGCGTCCCGGGGGCGGTCTCGTTGTTGAGGCGGAAGATGCGGCCGAAATTGCCCCCCCTGGCAACAGAATCGTGGCGACAGTCGGGAATGCCGCAGAGGGCGCGCCTGCGCTCGGAGACCGGCCTCTCCCGAAGGAGGTCCACGACGCCTCCCCGAGCGGATGATGGAGGATATCTCGAGCCTCCTCGCAACATCGAGGGCCAGGAGTTCACGCTGGAACGTGCGGCCTTCAGCTGCAGTAGTCCCCTGGGGGGCTACAACCGAACAGATGGTCGTCGGCCACAGCGCGCCGGTGCCTCCCGTCCAGGAGACAACCAAGCAGGCGTTCCTACAACCCCTCACTCCTATCAGCGTCCCGGGGGCGGTCTCGTTGTTGAGGCGGAAGATGCGGCCGAAATTCCGTCCCCCCCTGGCAACAGTATCGTGGCGACAGTCGGGAATGCCGCAGAGGGCGCGCCTGCGCTCGGAGACGGGCCTGCTCCCGAAAGGAGGTCCACGACGCCTCCCCGAGCGGATGATGGAGGATATCTCGAGCCTCCTCGCAGCATAGAGAGTCAGGCGTTCACACAGGAACGTGTGGCCTTCAGCTGCAATTGTCCCGTGGGAGAGCCACAAACCGAACAAGTGGTCTTCAGCCACAGCGCGCCGGTGCCTTCCCGTCCAGGAGACAACCAAGCAGGCGTTCCTACAACCCCTCAATCTTTTCAGCGTCCCGGGGGCGGTCTCGTTGTTGAGGCTCAAGCGGGTGTGGCACAAGCTGTTGTGGCACGAGCTCAAGCTATCACATTGCCAGTCGCCGGGGCTGTCGGCCACCACCTCGTATCCCACTGCTCCCCCCTTGGCAACAGTATCGTGGCGAAAGGTGGGGGTGCTGCTGAGGGAGCGCCCGCGGTCGGAGACCAGCCTCCTCCCGACAAGAGGTCCACGACGCCTCCCCGAGCGGATGGTGGAGGATATCTCGAGCCTCCTCGCAACATCGAGGGTCAGGAGTTCACGCGGGAACGTGCGGCCTTCAGCTGCAGTAGTCCCCTGGGAGTGCTACGGCCCGAGCAGGTGGTCGTCAGCCACAGCGCGCCGGTGCCTTCCCCTCCCAAAAAATGACCAAGCAGGCGTTCCTACAACCCCTCACTCCTATCAGCGTCCCGGGGGCGGTCTCGTTGTTGAGGCGGAAGATGCGGCCGAAATTGCGTGCCCCCCTGGCAGCAACATCGTGGCGACAGTCGGGAATGCCGCTGAGGGCGCGCCTGCGCTCGGAGACGGGCCTGCTCCCGAAAGGAGGTCCACGACGTCTCCCCGAGCGGATGATGGAGGATATCTCGAGCCCC